GCACAACCCGTGTGCAGGGCGTCGGGGGCTGGCGCCCAGAGCTCTCCCTTGGGTCCGGTGCTGCCCCTTCGTCCCAGATCCCATCCCAGGCGGGATGCCCATGCCTCTGCCCCTGCGCTGGCTGGAGCTGGAGGAGACCCGGGTGGACTCAGGGGTCTCCCTTCAGAGAGGCCAGCAGGCAGGTCCTCTGACAAGTGCCTGCCCATAATCCTCTCCCCCGGGTCCTCTATTTTGTTCAGGCTGGCAATGCACTCAGCTTGAAATGCTGTCCCACCAAGAATGCCATGGGATGCGGTTCTGGCCGGTGGGACGTGAGCGCACGTGCCTGGTGCTGTCAGGGACAGATCCTCAAAGGGAGCTGACTCACCTGGCAGGCAGGGCCGCATTTCTCTGCTTCCTCTCTCTCTGCCTCCTTCCTCCTGGCCAAGTATGCATGAGATGGCTGGAGTGCCAGCAGTCATCTTGGGCCATGAGGTGAATGTGAGGATGGAGCAGCTTGTTCTGGAAAAGTGGCACAACAGGATAGAAAGTAGGTCCTTGATGATGCAAGGCCCCCTGCCAGCCCTGGACAGCCTGCGCTTGTGTCATGTGAGACAAAAGTACATTTCTATCTTGTGGAAGGCTCTATTATTCTGAGTTGCTATATATGCAGCTGCAACTAATCCTGAAGGGCAGGCAGCCAAGTTGGTCCGAATGTCCCCCCAGCAAGGTAGGAGGTCACTCCAGGATTGTGTGAGACACTATATGGGAAAAAGTTTCCCAGTTCCAATGAATCCCGGGGCTGCGGCTGGGCCTTCTGTCTCTGGGAGGCTCACACCGACACCGGAACGAGAAGGGCCCGGGATGCCCTGCGTTTGTTGGCTTCATTTAAATGGTTGTCCCAAACCTACCGGACCCTGGAACCCTTTGCTCCAGGAACACCTGCTAGAAGTCAGAAAGGCCTCAGGATCCCGTGGCACCTGGTTGGGGAAGGTGCACTCGCAGATGCTCAGCCCACCGCTGGGCACACAATAAGTGCTCAATAAATGTTCAGGCTGCCACTAAAGCTGCAAATGGGGCCCGTGTCAACTCTACGAGCACGGAAGTCAGGGCCCCACCTGCCCCCTCAGGCCCGCCTGTTCTGGGGCTCCCACCTCGGCCCCGGCGGCGGCCCACGCCTGCCCACTCCGTCCTGGGGCCCACGGAGCTCAGGGCCGCCCTCCTGCCCCGGAGCCAGAGCCGGGCCAGGCCGCTGCTCACTCAGGCGGGGCCGCGGGGCCAGCGGAGGCGGAGCAGCCGTGAGGAAGCCGCGGGGTAAAAAGTTGATAAAGAGAAATGCATTTCTTTTTCTTTTGGGAGAATTCAACGGGTGCAGATTGCTCAGGTCCCAAAGCCATGGGGAAAAAAAAGAAAAAGCCCTTTGCCGCTGCTATTGATAACTTGTCTCTCTTCACGTGGTGGGTTCAAAACTAAAAATACTCTCCTCCGACGATGGGGAAGCCGAGTGCTGTCACGTTGCAGAGGAGATGAGAAAGTTGCATGGGGAAGGCTCCGCTTGGGCCACGTGAGGGCCGGGCTGGGCCTTGGTGGCCAGCGCTCTCAGGCCGCCGAGGCTGCATCCCTGCGCCCCGAGAGGAGTCCCCTGCATTCCGCGGTCGAGAGTGGAGAGTGGCCTCTCCAAAGGCCTGGGGAGTGGGGGTGCAGGGAAAGGACTGAGCTCGGGCCGCACCCCCGCAGGGCAAAGGCCAGGCCGGCCACGCGCGGCGCCCAGCACCCCTGGGCACCCAGCACCCTTGGGCACCCAGCCGTGTCGGGCTACCGGGGCAGCTCTGGCTGTGGCCCTGTCCTGTACGGGACAGGTGGCTCCACTCCCTGAGCCTCAGAGTCCCTCACCTCTGGTCTGCCTCCGCCAGGTGAGAGATGGAAGGAGGACGAGGCTCATGCTTCCCGAGGGCAAAGCAAGGGCATGTGTTCCCACACAGCTGGGGCTCTGGCCCCAGCACACCAGGCTTCGTGCCCACGGGGCTCGTGGGTCATGGTATCAGTTGATCCCCATGCGAGTTGCGACGGGGAGGATCCAATTCTGGGGCGGTGAGTGACAGGCAGACGTGACCATAGGGTCTGCCCTTGGGCCTGGCCGGGTCTGAGAGCAGTTCCTGTGGGAGCAGACACCCCGAAAGTTATCTCCTAGCCCAGCACTTCTCAAAGCCCTGAGAGCACACTTGTGGATGGACCCCCTCCAGAGAGGACTCCCCAGGCCTTCGTGCTCCGGACGCAGGAGACTCCGACCAGCCCCCTCCACCAGGCAGGGAATGAGTCAGTTGATGTCATGACCCACGAACCCCCCAGAGGTCCCAGCCACCCAGGAACACCTGAGCGTCTTATTCAGGTGCAGACTCCAGGCGGAGAGGTCTGGGCAGGCCCCTGGCTTTCCGACAAGCTCCTGGACCTCTGCTGCCTGACCACGCGGTGCCTGGGCCACTTCCTCACTGCAGGCCTGAGGGGAGTCACTTTCCCTGCCTGAGGCTCAGTCTGCTCATCTGCACCGTGGAGAGGACACCCGGTATCTACTTGATTGGCTGGTGCACACGTGCAGCTGGACGAGACCCGGAAGCCACTGCGCCCTGGAGAAGGCCAGCTGTTGTCACCACCACCATCGCTGCATGGCCCCAAAGGCCCTGTCTCCTCTCCTGCTGCTGTCTTCCATTTCATTCTTAGAGAATTTTCCCTCTGGAATCAGCCTCTTGACCTAGTGAAGATCATGAAAACTGCTCCTGATTGCGTCCCATGCACCGCCTTCAGCCATCAACCGAGAGGGGATCCCCCCTCAATCTTGGCCACGACGACCAGGAAGGATCGGTGGCTGGTCCTTGGAGTTCCATTTATTGCATCTGCTAAAAGGGGGTGAACTGATATTTCAGCTACAGGACCCACTTGGGGTCAGACCCTACCCAACCCCAAGGCCAGCGGAGAGGTGGTCGAGCTCCGCCCCGGGTGGTCCGTGGGCAGACGGGAGACTCTCCAGTCTCTCCTCTTGTGCTGCACTCGCCCCAGAGGTCATGGCTGAGGGGTGGGCCAGTAGGTTGAACCCCTCGGGGCATGTCCTTTGCATTAGGTCAGAGTCTTGGAGACTCGTCAGGGTGACCCATGGTGGTTTCGGGACCCTGTGCTGGACTTGGGCCAGGCCCACAAGGGAAGCTTTGGAGCATCTCCATGGCAACAGGCCTTGTCCTTGTCCTGGCTTGGGGGCCTGAACACACCTCCCTCGCCTGCTGGGGTCGGTTTCTTCAGGGGTAACCATGGCAACGCCTTTGTTTCTGAGGCCTGGCCCCACCCCCTCCCGGTTTCTCTCTACAGCAGAGGTTGGGAGAGCTCCTTTTCAGTCCCAGCACGCCAGCCGCACCGCTGACAAGGCCCACCAGTGAGCTGGGCCAGCCTCTAGGACGGGGGAGGACAGGCTTTCTGTGCCCAGAAATGCAGCCTGCCTCCCTCCAGGGACCCCATCCACTCCCTCATGCCCTCATCTTTAGGGGGCAGCCAAGACCTGCTGCCCCTGCCCTCAGGGCACCCTTGGTCCCGCCGGGGGCAACCTGTCAGTCCCTCCACCTTGCTAGAAATGAGGAATCACGTTCTGATGAGGGAGTGCAGAGGCTCCAAAGGGCCCGGCTTTGTGGAAGAGACACAATGAGCAGGACCCTTTCAATGTGCCACATGGGCATGAGGGCTCTATCAGTACTCTTGGGGTTGCAGGGCCCCAGGACTCCTTCAGGCTCACACAGGCTTAAGCAGAAAATACAGTAGCTCAGATAACTAAAAAGTCTAGGACAGAGCTTGCTTCAGGTGTAGCTGCTCCAGGTGACCCAGGATATCTGCTCTTGCTTCACTCCCTCCCCTCCCCGTGGCAAGATGCACAGTAGGAGTTGCAGACGGGCATCCCTGTCTTACCCAGCCCAGTTCTGGAGAGGTCTGTGGGTAGAGGGGAGACTCATGGGACTCACCCTTCCCTGTGGCCTGAGCTCTCTGACCCCCAGGGCTGACCCGCATTGGCCAGGACACCGTCTCCTGCTCACCCCTGAATCAGACCAGACGCCTGATTCAAATGGGATGAGCTTAGGAAAAAATCCGGTTTGCAAATCTGGGTGCTCAGAGATGTTACTAACTTGCCCCAAGCCACAAAGGTGATAAGGATGCAAGTCTGACTCCAGAGCTTCTAGGCTCAATCACGGAGCCCAGATCAGTGGGTTTTATTTAGTTATTTAAGATTTTATTTATTTATTCACGAGAGACACACAGAGAGAGGCAGAGACACAGGCAGAGGAAGAAGCGGGCTCCCTGCGGGGAGCTCGATCCCAGGACCCCGGGGTCACGACGCTCAACCCCTGAGCCCCCCAGGGCGCCCCATCAGTTTTAACCCGGGGAGTGAAGTGTCAGGGATGCAGCCAGAGGGTAAACCGGTGCCGGGTTTTGGCGAGCGATGAACGTTATGCCAAGGAGGGTGGACGCTGGGGAGCCCCGTAAGATGCCTGAGCTGAAGGAGCGCTTTGAGAGGCTGCCTCCCGCCTCCCGCCTCCGCCCGGGCCCGGCCTGGGAACCGCGGCCCCCGGCACCTGCCCGCCGAGCGCCCCCGCCACCTGACTCGCTGTTTGTAAACTCAACTCGCCCGGCCACGCCCCTTCCTCCCTCTCTCCCGCCCCCTTGGGGTCAATATCTGCATAACCCCGCCTCCCCCTGCTGTGACTGGCTGTTCGTGGCGTCACTCCTCCGTGTGGGCGGGACTCCCAAGGGGCGAAGAGGGTTGCCGCTCCGGGGACATGATTAGCATAGTCCCGCCTCCCGGCGCGGCCCTCGGGCCGGGCGCTGATTGGGCAGGCGGCGTCTGACGCTCTGGCGCCGGGCGCTGTGAGTGGCGGGCGCGGGCTGTCAGTCTGCCTGGCGGCCGGCCGCACTTCCGCCTCGGTGTCAGCGGGTCGCGGGCCTGCGGGGCGGGGGCGGGGTGGGCGGCGAGGCTCGGCCGGCACCGGAGGGACCGCGGTCCAGGTGAGCGGCCCGGGACCCGGCCCCGCGTCGGCGGGGCGCGGGCGGGCGGGAGGCGGCGGGGCCGGGCGGGGCCGGGCGCGGGGGAGGGGAGCCGGGCCCCGGGCGCAGCGCCCGCCCGCCGGCCCGGCCCCCGAGCCCCTCCGCTCCCTCGGCCCGACCCCCGCCCGCCCGCGGCCCGCGGCCCCCGGGAAACTCGGGAGGAAAGTTGGCGGCGGCGGCGGCGGGGGCGGGGGGCGGCGGCGGGGGGCGGGGGCGCGCGTCGCCGGGCAACTGCGGCGCCGGAAGCCGGGCGGGCGGGAGGCCGGGGCGCTGCGGGGCGGGGGGCGGGCCGCGCGGGCGACCACCTGTGCGAGGGCCCGCGCCGCGTCCCTCCGTCCGTCCGTCCGTCCGTGTGTCCGTGTGTCCGCCGCAGCTCGGCAGCCGCGCGCGCTCCTGGCCCGCTGGGCTGTCCCCCGACCTAGACGCGAGCTCGGGGCGCAGCGTGGGCCGTGGGGGGGCGGGAAGCGCGCCGGCCCGGTGCCCCCCCGGGCCCTGCTCACGGCTGCGATCCCGGGACCCCGAATGTCCGTCCGGGACCGGCTGGCGGCGGAGCCAGCAGCTGCAGCTTAGCCCCTTTCCGGGACTGCTGGGCGCATCTGGAGACCTGGCCTCGTTCAGTTCAGGGGGTCCCGGGGCGGCTGGGGCATGTGCCCTGTCTGCCTGCCGCCTGCGGCCTGAGCCCTGGGCCTGACCCCCGTGGCCTGAGCCCTGCAGCCTGACCCCTGGGACTGACCCCTGGGACTGACCCCTGAAGCCTGACCCCCACGGCCTGAGCCCTGGGCCTGACCCCTGCGGCCTGACCCCTGCTGCCTGAGCCCTGTGGCCTGAGCCCTGGGCCTGACCCCTGCGGCCTGACCCCTGCGGCCTGAGCCATGGGCCTGAGCCCTGCAGCCTGACCCCTGGAACTGACCCCCATGACCTGACCCTTGCTGCCTGAGCCCTGCGGCCTGAGCCCTGGGCCTGACCCCTGCAGCCTGAGCCCTGCAGCCTGACCCCTGCGGCCTGACCCCTGGGCTTGACCCCTGCAGCCTGACCCCTGTGGCCTGAGCCCCGCTGCCTGAGCCCTGGGCCTGACCCCCACGGCCTGACCCCTGGGCCTGAGCCCTGCAGCCTGACCCCTGGAACTGACCCCCATGACCTGACCCTTGCTGCCTGAGCCCTGCAGCCTGAGCCCTGGGCCTGACCCCTGCAGCCTGAGCCCTGCAGCCTGACCCCTGCGGCCTGACCCCTGGGCTTGACCCCTGCAGCCTGACCCCTGTGGCCTGAGCCCTGCTGCCTGAGCCCTGGGCCTGACCCCCACGGCCTGAGCCCTGGGCTTGACCCCTGTGGCTTGACCCCTGTGGCCTGAGCCCCGCAGCCTGACCCCTGCGGCCTGAGCCCCGCAGCCTGACCCCTGCGGCCTGAGCCCTGCAGCCTGAGCCCTGGGTCTGACCCCCGCAGCCTGACCCCTGCTGCCTGAACCCTGCGACCTGAGCCCTGGGCCTGACCCCTGCTGCCTGAGCCCTGTGACCTGAGCCCTGGGCCTGACTCCTGCAGCCTGAGCCCCGCAGCCTGACCCCTGTGGCCTGGCCCCTGTGGCTGCGTGGGGATGGTGGGAGGACATAGCCCTGGGCGGCAGGGGGGACCCAGGTCCTCGTGGCTAATGCTGGGCAGCAGGGTGGGAGGCCCTTCCTGACTTTTGTCCCCCTGGCCAGAGTTGCGTGCACTGTGACTTATGTCATTTACCTGCAGGGCTGATGAGCAGATAATCCCGTGTCGGGCGGCCCCACCCCCGCCCCTGCACACAGTAGGCGCTCCAGATGGTTCCTTCGGTTCCTCTTGTTGCAGACAGGAACCTTCTGGGCTGTACTTCCTCCTTGTCCAGCACGGAGCCTGGCACGCTGTTGTCACTGAGAACATGACAGTGCATGGATGACTGAGTCTCCTTGGTAGAATTTGCTTTTCCTGTTTGCATCACGTATCCTCCTGTTAATAACAGCTCTTAACTCAGGTGGTGATAATATGTAACACTTGTTTTCCCAGGACTGCTGTGAGCACACTGCATTCACTTCACTCGTGTGGCGCCGACATCCTCAGGGTTCATGAGGAAGCTGAGGAGCAGAGATTAGGTGACTTACCCTCTGTCACACAGTAGTAGGTGAGGGAGCAGGGATTTGAACCCAAGCAGGCTGGGCTTCAGAGCTTACACTCTGAAATACCCTCCATATTGCCTCTTTAAACCAAAATTATTATTGACCGTCTCCTCTTCACGTCCTCTTTTGGAATATTCTAATTGCGCTGTGTTACTCTGTGTCGGAATTGTATTTCTTGCAGCATATCTATCTGATAGATGTTCATTTTTTTGTGAGCCCAAGTGTTTATAAAAACAATTTTATTTTTTCTAAAATGAAGGAATTCTCCATCTGGCTTATCCCAGATTTTGCAGAAATACTCTCCGTGCCGCCCTGCTCCTTGGTCAGCAGTGAGCCGGCTGAGGCTCACCGTGCAGAAGGCCGAGGTGGAGGAACAGGGTGATGACAGACACACACAAGTACGAGGCCGTGGCCGTGAGCTCAGCTCCGAGCAGACTTCCTGCGGTAGGGGGGTCACACTGCTGTGCCGTGTGACACTGATGAGCTGTACTATTGTCATGTCTTGCAGGTACCCCTTGTCTTTCACCCTCGTGCCCCTTAGCCGTGCCCTCTGCCGTCCAGGAAATGCTGGCCACCGAGTCTTGGACATGTACTTAAAGCTTACTCAACTCTTAGGATTTTATTACACCCAGCCCATCACAAAAGTGACATTTGGTTTCTCGGCGAGAAAGTTTTTGAAACCCGGACAGCCCCACGTGCTCCTGGTCAGCGCTGTGCTTTGCGCTGCGGGCGGGCACTGGGCTGAGTGTCTGGCACACATTGTCCAGCGTGTAGCTTAATTCTGAGCTTGGAGCACTGGTTTGTAGCTTATTGAGACTGAGAAGGAGTTAGCGTTCGAACACGGCTGATGAATAAAAACTACTTACGTCCTCAGACTTAGTATCTTAAGTGCTAGTTTGACGCTGTAAGCGCAGGTTCCATGTACAGTGATTGATGTGTGTCTCTGCTGTAAGTCTTGCTCTTTCCAAGTGTTTGGTGTTGCAGCACATGGCACTCGGATTGGGGTCAAGCCCTGACGCAGAAACATGGTGTGGGGTGCGGCCCATCCCCGCAGCTCTGCAACGTAATGGTGTGACAGGAGCCACCTAGACATGCCTGAGAACTCTATGGCGTTTCTTCCTTTTCTTTCCAAACCCAGAAAACTACTTGAGTTCCTCTGGCAGAATTTCAAATCACCGTTCGTTGAACTGGATCTTCAGGTTATACAGATACTGTAATCTTTGTGTTGAGCTAAACGGTGGAAGTAAGCCCGTACGGAGCACTGTCTTGGGGCACCTGGCCGGCTCAGTCGCTAGAGCGTGTGACTCGTGGGGTGATGAGTTCCAAGCCCCACGTTAGGTGGAGATTACTCTAACAAAAAAAATCTTTTTTTTTCCTTTTTTTTTTTTTAATTTTTATTTATGATAGTCAGAGAGAGAGAGAGAGAGAGAGGCAGAGACACAGGCAGAGGGAGAAGCAGGCTCCATGCACCGGGAGCCTGACGTGGGATTTGATCCCGGGTCTCCAGGATTGCGCCCTGGGTCAAAGGCAGGCGCCAAACCGCTGCGCCACCCAGGGATCCCTAACAAAAAAAATCTTAACAAAAAATAGAAAGGATTGTCTTGAAGAAGCAGGTGTTGGGAGACCCCGGCCTGCCGTGTGTCTTTGTGTCAAGGCAGTGCCTGCAAGGATTGTTTTGAGACAGACTCTGGGGTCAGTCCTGGCGGAGCTGGCCTGACGGAGTGGTAGGGGAGCAGGGGTCATGTGCCTGGTGCTCTTCTGGGCAGCATCCCACCAAGCCTGATGCTCTGTTCCAGGAACCCCAGGTCCCTGGGTGCCCGGGGTCTCAGGCTGTCCCCAGGGCTGAGGGCTGTCAGCAGTGGGAACCATCTGGGTGGACAGGCCTGTCTGACTGCCCATTTCATATCTTTACAAGGGGTTCAAAGGTGCTGAGTAAGGCTTGTTCCAAGCTTGTGCCAGGGTTCTTGGGAGAGAGCGTTGCGTACATGAGAATGGTCTGTAGGGAAGTGGTACTGAATCTAGATTCTAGAAAAAAACCATGGCAGCCACAGGGCAGGGATGGCTGTGTGCTTTACTGAACAAATGAAGACTGATCAGAGGCTGCTCATGAGAAAAGATGAGCCATGATCTGATACCTTGAGCCACCTGCGTGGCTGGAAGGTGCTACTGATGAAAACCAGGGGGACTATGTGAGTTCACGTCCAAACTGGACAGCTGTGGAGTGGAAAGAAGCACCAGGCAGATTGATGGTGGAGGCAGATGTAGTGAAGGCCCGCGGTCACTCTGCGGATGCTGGGGAGGGAGAGGATCGGGGCCATCTCGTCCCTGACCCTGTATGAGTTAGGTACCAAGCACTTGTAGTCCAGGAGTCGTTGGCCGGAGGTGGAGCAGGACAGGTCACGGGAGGGACAGAGGCAGGTGGGGTCCCCTGTGGTGCCAGCTCCCTGAGCGGTGCCGTGGGTTCTGTCTCTGCTGTGCCTGTGCTATGGGGTGAATGCTGATGCCTGTTGGGTTAGAAGGCTCCTGGCTTAACATCAAAGGGTTTTGAAACCTAGCTTCTCATCAGAAAAACCTAGGTAATTTTGTAAGAAATGTAGGTTCAAGGCCCAGCCCCAGATCTAGGGGATCTGGGCTTACAGGATGTGTGCGACTTGCTCCTGTTATTCTGATGCTCCTGGGGTGCTCACTGGTACTTGGGGCCCACGGTGGGGTCCTCGCTCAGTTTCGGATCAAGGGCCTTTTTGAAAACTTAGTGGAGAGTCCAAGTCACCTTCCTGAAGGGGAAAAAAAAAACACAAATGGAATTTTGCCATTTGTTTCTTTTTATTTATTTCTCATATTTGGGGGACTGGTTAGAAATTCATCCCTGAGACCCCTGTCCCCGGCACTGGTGCTCAGGAAGTACAGCTGGGAGTGCCTGGGATGGCTCTGATATTAGGAGGATAGACTCAGCACAGTGAAACTAGCCAGGGGCTGATCGGGTCGTACCTGGAGGTGACAGGGAAGGACACCGGATGGGAAAGGGCAGCAGGCATGGCAGACTGGACTGTGAGCATGGTTCTGGGCCCCCGTCACTGCTCCTGCGCTGTACCCAGCATGTCCTGGCCGTCCCACTGCCACCCGCTGGTCCAGGGTGTTTGGCTCTGTTGGTCGGAGACAGCCTGCCGTCGGGGCCTGCCGTCGGGGCCTGCTGTCGGGGTGCTGCCCAGGGATGCTCAGGGCCCCGCACCGCGCACCCGCTGGCGTGGTGGCTGCTCGCCGGTTTCCGTGAGCAGGGCCGTAGGCGTGGTCGGAGCTCCCTGTCCAGATCATCGTCACGCCTTCGCTCGGCTGCGAGCTGGGCCCCTTTTTTCTGTGTCACAGGATGATGAGGTGATTAAAACAAACGCGTGTGTGAAAGGACTTGCCGTCCTCCTGTGCACGCTTGGAGGCCCTCCGTGCTGGATTCGGAGCCCCCAGTCCTCGAGGTGCGTGACGGGTCCTGGCGCTCACCATTGAACCCTAAGCTGGTGGAGCCGGAGGCAGTTTGTCGGGAGGGGGGGTGCCCCACTCCCTTGGACTGAGCCGGCCCCCCCAGGCCCCAGCAGGAGGTGCGGCTCCCGCGCTGCTGGCCGCCCCGCCCGCTCCTGGGTCTGCCCTCTGCCTGCCCCCAAGGCCCCCCGGTTGGCAGGGGGAGCAGTAAGTAAGCCGCGACTAACACGAACATTCGTTTACATAGTGCGATAGGTTCGTTTACCTTCCTGAAGCCTAGAAGCGCTGTGCGTGGACGCCTCACCCCGGAAACCGGCTTGGCTGGCCTGGGGTGAGGCCGTGCCGTCCTGCGGGGCTGCTCCCTGGCGTGCTGGAAGGCAGAGCTCAAATCCGCCCAAATCCGCCCGCCGTGCGGGGCTGGGAGTTCGCGCAGGGTCAGGCAGCTGATGTCTGTGATGATTGCACACCCGGGGAGGCACACAGGGCCGCGCAGCTCCCTGTACCCCGAGACGGCACCTGGATGCACCTGGATGGAGCCACGTCTCACCCAGGTCTCCGGGAGCCGGGGCCGGAGGGTCAGCGCCCGCTCCTGCCCGTCTTCGCTGAGCCCCGGGTGTGAGAGGCGCCCCGTGGGTGCGAGGCCGACAGCCACGCGTAGCCCACCGTGTGGAGGAGGCCGTGTGTGCACGGCAGGTTGTGCACCTGGCTCCACCGCAGGCTCGGAGGGCTGCGGGAGTGGGCAGGCCTGGTCTTTCCCCAGCGGGTGGCAGCAGCACGTTTCAGTGAGGCGAGGGGAGCAGTCCAAGGTGCTTGGAAATCAGAACAAACAGCAGGCTGGCCCAGTGTCCTTACTGTGGCGCATCTGACAGGTGGGCCTTGGGAAGGCTGCTGCGCTGGGGCTGGCCCGTGGCTCCCGCCCCTCCCTGCTCTGCTGGCGCCTCCCTTCCACGGGACTCCCTCCCTGTGGCAGGACCACTGGAGAGCTTTCTAGGGCTGCGGCGCTCAGCATGAAAAGTGACCTATGGTCCCATGAGGCCCTGGAGCGCTGGGTCCGGGATGGATGCTTAAGCGGAAGGAATTCAGTTCATTTAGCATTGCATAAAAGTAAGCACTCCCTTGGGTACCTCAGCTACATTTCAGGTGCTCAGAGTCACCTGCAGCCAGTGGCTCCTGCGCCAGACCGAGCAGACGCGTCATCCCCAGCCCGGCTGGAGCTTCTGCCGCCGGGCTCTGGAGCCAGTGCAGGTTGAGTCCTTGTTTCCGTTAACTTGTGTTTTACGAAAGAAAGACACTGGGAACTGTGGCATGGTGGGTGTCAGTAGGGCGACAGTGTCTAGGCATCTAGGTGACAGGTGGGTCTAGAATGCTAACACATGAGTGACCACCAGGGCCATGTGGCCAGGGAGCACAGTCTGCCCACAGTGGTGGTGTTGGGGGCCGAGGTCTCGGGAGACACGGGGACAGGTGGCCCCCGGCCCTTCTCTGCTGCCTGGTGGAGAGAGGCGGCGGGCTGGGGCCACCGCAGGGCCGGCCTTCCCCTTGGGATATTAGCATCCTCCAGCGGCCTTGGTTTCACTCGTCCTGAACTTCTCCATCTCTGTCCTTGTGTTCTTTAGTTCCCACCCATGGCTAACTGTGACCCATCGTGTTTTGAAGTCTGGCTCACACTCGGAAGTGGCGGTGTTTCCTGTTCTGGGTGGGCCACGGTGGTAACGTTTCCACGTGGCTGGAGCACCTCTCCAGGGCTCTGACGGCCACGCTGCTCCCGGGAGGGAGGAGGGGCCCCGCGGGGATGCTGTGGAGACTCTGGTCTGCTCCATCACTAGCCGCCTGAGGTCAGCGTGTTCCCCGCATGGACGACGCGCAGGGGTGTCCAGAAATGTTTGGCCGTGACCTTAAGGGGCGCGGGGCGCCAAGAGCCTCTGATGCGCTGTGCTCCGGAAGGTGCGGCCTGTTTCCACGGGGCGCCAGCCCGGCGTCCCTGGGCTGCTCTCCTTGGGCCTCTGGGGTCTCCCTGGTGCCCCTTTAGGGAAGGCCTCTTCTGTGACTGCCCTGTGGGGGGGCTCCGGGGCAGCCGCTGGCGTCCTCTCCCCGCCCGGGATCCGCGCTCCGCACCCCGCACCCCGGCCCAGCTCACTGCCCGATGTCGTGGCCTCACGGCGCTTCCGTGGCGTTTCCGTGCCAGTGAGCCAGGGACTTTCTGCTCCGTGACTTTGAACAGTTGGGAGGAGACACAGCCTCCGAAACCGGAGTGTGAGATGAGGTTTTGGGGTCCCTTCTTAGAATCCCACCTTTGGTAATAACGGGACCTTTTCCCTTTCAGCGTAACGCCGTCTGAGCGTAGCACCTGGTTGTGTTTGAGCTCCGTGCGTAGTCCCATATTTCTCGTCTGTACCGCCTGATTCTGTGTTTTTCCCAATTGTTAAAGTTCTGGGGGGATCTCTGGTGGCCCAGGGCGTGATCCTGGAGACCCGGAATCGAGTCCCTCATCCGGCTCCCTCCTGGAGCCTGCCTCTTCCTCTGCCTGTGTCTCTGCCTCTCTCTCTCTCTCTCTCTCTCTCTCTCTCTTTCTCTCATGAATGAATGAATACAATCTTAAAAAAAAAAGTCGTGGTAAAATATACATGACATAAAATTACCATCTTAACCATTTTTTTTTAAGATTGTATTTATTCATTCATGAGAGACAGAGAGAGGCAGAGACACAGGCAGAGGGAGAAGCAGGCTCCATGCAGGGAGCCCGATGCGGGACTCGATCCCAGGACCCCGGGGTCATGCCTTGAGCCGAAGGCAGACGCTCAGCTGCTGAGCCACCCGGGGATCCCATCTTAACCATTTTTTTTGAATTATTTATTTATTTATGATAGTCACACACAGAGAGAGAGAGAGAGGCAGAGACACAGGCAGAGGGAGAAGCAGGCTCCATGCACCGGGAGCCCGATGTGGGATTCGATCCCGGGTCTCCAGGATCGCGCCCTGGGCCAAAGGCAGGTGCTAAACTGCTGCGCCACCCAGGGATCCCCCATCTTAACCATTTTTTAAAAACACTATTTTATTTTTAAGTAGGCTCTATCCACATCATGGGGCTCAAACTCACAACTCTGAGCGCCAGAGTCACACGCTCTACCGACTGAGCTGGCGGGCACTCCCCACCTTAGCTACGTCTAAGCGTGGGTTCCATTCGTATGAAATCATTTATAACATGTGCACCCGTCATCACCACCCATCTCTGGCACTGTTTTCATCTTGTAAAATTGAAACTGTCCCCAGTAAACACTACCCCCTCCCCCAGCCCCTGGCAGCCACCCTCGTGCTATGAATTTGAACTCATGTAAGTGGAATCAGATTGTTTTTGTCCTTTCCTGGCTGGCATATTCCACTGAGCACAGTGCCCTTAAGGTTCGTTCTTGTGGTAGCAGGTGTCAGGTTTTCCCTCCTTTCCAAGGCTGAATAATAGTCCATTGTTCGTGTAGATCACATTTTGTTTGTCCGTTGGTCCCCCAGCAGACGCTGGGTTGCTTCCGTGTTTCAGCTATTGTGACTCATTCTGCTGTGAACATGGGTGTGCAAATAGGACCTTGAGGACCTTGCTCTCCATTCTTTTGGGCATGTACCCAAGGGGGAATTGCTGGGTCATATGGTAATTCTGTTTTTATTTCTTGAGGAACTGCCGTCCTTTCCTTACTCCTGATCTTAGAGGAAGAGCTTTCAGTTTTTCACCGTTGACTGTATTTGCTGTGTTGTGGTAAGGTCCTTCTGTTGCTCGTTTGTTAGTGTTTTTATCATGAAAGAGCGTTGAATTTTGTCAAGTGAATTTTGTGTAGCAGTTGAGATGATCGTGTGTTTTCCCGTCATTCTGTTGATGTGCATTTTATACCCATTTTCATACGTTGGCCCATCCTTGCATTCCAGGAGGAAATCCCACTTGGTGATGGTGTCTGGTCCTTTCAGTGTGTTCCTCTCATCAGTGTTTCGTTGAGGACCTTGGCCTCTATCCTTAGGGGATGTTGGGGAGCAGCTTTCTCTTCCTGTGGGGTCTTTATGTGGCCTTGCTTCAGGATCATGCTGAAGCTCGTAGAATGAGTTTGGAAATGTTCCCTCCTCTTCAGTTTTTTGGGAAAGTTTGAGAATTGGTGTTAGTTCTTCCTCAAGTGTTCAGTAGAATTCACCAGTGAAGCCATCAGGCCCAGGGCTTTTCTTCGCTGAGAGATATTTGATCACTGATTCAATCTCCTTACTAGTCAGAAGTTTTCTGTTTCTCTGTGAGTTGGTCTTGGTGGGTCTTGTGTTTCTGGAAGGCTGCCTGTTTAATCGACGGTATCCGGTTCGTTGGCGTGCCATCGCTCACGGCATCTCATACATTCCTGTGTGTTTACGTAGCGTCGGTAGTAACGTCCAATTGTAGTTGAGTATTCTCGCTTTTCTTCTTAGTCTACGTGGCTGTGGGTGACCAACTTTGTTGATCTTATCAGAGAACCAAGTTTTGGTTTCATTGATTTTCTCTGTTTTTCTATTCTTATTCCCTTCTTTCTGCTAATCTTGGTTTTTGTTCTTTTTGTTAGGTTGTAGAGTCAAGTTGTTGAATTGAGATTTTTCTCATTTTTTGATATTGATGTTGGTTCATCAAATTCTCCTCAGCACTGCTTTCGTGGCATCTCCTAAATTTGCGTAAGTTATTTTTTCATTTTCATTTGTTCCTGAGTATTTTCAAATTTCCCTTGTGATTTCTTCTTTGATCCCTTGCTTAAGGGCCCACCATTTAATTTCCACAGTTTTGTGAATATTCCAGTTTTCCTTCTGTTGCTGATTCCTAACTCATCGCTTTGTGGACAAAGGAGATGCCTTGTGCGAGGTCTATTTTGTAAAATCTATTGATATGTAATTTGTGGCCTAACATCCGCTCTCTGCTGGACACTGCGCGTGTGTGCTTGAGAACGTGTGTCTGCTGATGCTGTTGGGTGGTACGTTCTATGTGTCATAGATCTGCTTGCTCTGTGGTGTCAAGTTCTCTGTTTCCTCATTTACCTTCTGTCTGGTTGATGCTTGCCAATGCACTTTAGAATTATTAAATAGAATTTATATTATTTTGAACAATTTAAATTCAGAATTGATATTTAACTGCAAAAGTAGTGTTAGAGTTTTCATATTACCAGTGTCCTTTTCTTTCTTGTGAAGATCACACCTAGGTTGCCTTGTCTGTTTTTTATAGAGAAGTTCTCCTCTTTCGTAAATTGACTGTGAAGATTAACCTCTGGGTCCCTTAGGCAGCCACTTATTCCTATGTGAGTAGATCTGTTTTTCTAATAAAGTCATGCAGATGGATTTGAAAGACTTGAATGGTATTTGTACAAGTGTACTTGTATTTGTACAAGTGGTGGTGGGACATTTTGCATTTGGAGCCAGGGTTCTGGATGTACGCACGGCAGTCAGAGTGTACATCTTAACGAGAGCTGGAGGGGGCTCTTCTCAAGGGAGCGGGAAACTGGGAGGAATGGTGGGGTGTCCTGGGCTGGTGGCCCCCTGAAGAGGCTGGGAGTGAGGATTCAGGGCAGCCCGTGGCGGGAGGTCCCTACGTGAAGGGATCAAGACCTCTGCCTCCTCCCTTCTGTTCCCTCTGGGAGGCCAGGTCGGCGCCGTGGTATCGCGTTCAGACCCAAAGTCAGTGCAGAAGGAGGCCAGCTAAGATGTACAGGACAGGCTTAGTTTCCTGGGTTTTCTCTGCAGTTAAAAGAGGGGATAGTTGAACGGAAAGAGCTAATTAAAAAAAAAAAAAATCCTTTCCTGAAACACTGTCTTCATGGATGTCTTCTGAATGCACAGTAGAATCTGCGTGGAGGGCATACGCAGGAAGTACTAAGTGCTGCCTTGTCGTTGATGCTGTTTCTTGAACAGTTGACTTTCCGCACGTCCCTGTACCTTGGTAGGGGGCTGAGTTACCAAGCCTGAGTGTCCCTCAGTTCCGTAGCCTTCTTGCTGGGTAGGGGCGCTTTATGCACACGGCCCTTCACTCCCCTCTGCAGGGCGTTTTGGCAGGATTTGGGGGTAGCAGACCCGTGTCCAGGGCCCCAGGCTGCTCAGACGACCAAATGCTGCAGGGCCCAGGATGGTGGGGTTTCGGAGGGGTCGGGGAACTCTAATGTGAGGAGGTCAGGTGGGCAGGCAGGTCTGTGAAGGACCCCGGGCTGGAACGCTTGCAGAAGCCTGCCCCGCGGAGGCCTCCCAGAGCCCCCCAGGCCTGGCACCCAGTGGCAGGCAGCGGATGCTAGTGGAAGGCGTGAGGAGATCTCTGTGTGGTGCTGATGGCCTGTGGCAGTGGGGAGTTCCACGGCCCAGGCAAAATGAAGAGAACAGCTCTTCCAGGAATTCCCTCGAGACTGTTGGAATTAATTACTGAACTTGTGAAATGGGAGCCAGCCTGCGGGTGCTGTGCACATTTATCGTTGAGCTTGTGGATGTTCCTGTGGGGTTGGTGGGCGAGGCCTTCCCGGCAGGGCCCGCTCCTCGGGGTGGCCCGGCGCTCGGCCCGGCCTTCAGCGTTGTCCAGCCTGACATCTTAGACCCTCATTTTAAAGATTTCCATCCATTTTGATGGATTTACTTTTAAACTTAGGACTTCTGTTATGGGTGAGGAAGCATGTAAAAAGGGAAACATCATGGCTCCTAACGTCCCTCTTATCACGGGAGATTTTCCATGTGGGGGAAGGCAGGCGGCAGAGCATGAGGCCCCCCGTGTGCCTGCCCTGGCTCGGGCCGGCTCCCCCACCCGCTCCTTCCGTGTCACTTGGAGGAAGAGCCCAGATGTACCGTGTCCCGTCCACACGGACTACAGCTGCAGCTCTGCAGATAAGGCCCCCTGGGGAGAGCGCAGTCAGAACACCTGTGCCTTTTTTAAGACACATTTGACTTGAGGTTTAATTGACATGCAGTGGAGTCCCCGGATTTGAACTGTACAGTGCATTTTGACCTATGCATCCACCCGCGACACGGTCCCCTCGGTGAGGATCGTGAGCCGCACCTGGGTCCTGTGCCTGTCTGCCCCTCCCGTGGCTGGACGTGTGGCTGGCGGGCCGCGCACCCGGGGGGCCACCCTCCCGGTGCCCTCTCCAGCCTTTGTGATTTGCTGCCGAAGAAGCTGGAAGTCCTGCAGCCTTCCCCAGGGGAAGGATCCTGCCGTCCCTGTCATCGGGGCGGAGTGTGGCGTGTTTCTGTGTTGTCTGCGCGGCTTGAGTTTGGGGCATGACGGCGGAGGGGGGCACGCGGCGCCGCTGGCAGTGGGCAGCCACACGACGCGGTCCCTTGTCCGTGTCTTGTGACAGCGCCACGCACACACCCTCCCGCCTCGTCCTGCGGTCCCCCTGTCATTAGGCCAGGCGGCGGCGGCACCGAGAGCCCGAGAGCCCGTGCAGGAAAGACGGGATGGACGCTTGGCGGCTGGCTTCAGAAGCGCGTGCTGGCGTCCCGCAGGTGACCAGTCGCCTCCCTCCCAGTCTGTGTGAGCTTGGGGCCTCACTGTGTCCCGTGCATCAAGGTCTCTTGCTGCACGTTGGTGCTCCGACGACGTCCCTGGTTGCAGCAGGAGCCTCTGTGGGCTCATCCTGAGCCCTGTGACACGGCCCCCTGGCTTCCTGCGGCCCTCCAGGGATCCCCGTTCTGGATTCAGCCACTCCTAAGTCTCCAGGGACCCTGGTTCCTTTGAGTGGCTTCCAGAGGGACAGAGCAAGTCGCTACGTGTCATAGATAGGACAGGTCATGTCGGAGAGGAGCTAGAGTAGGTAGTAACGTCTCTAGGGTGCGCGGGCAACGAGTCCTGGACTGGTGAACGAGGCTCGGTACGGGTGTTTCCAGAAGCTGCCTGGTGCCTGGTTCTGCATGGTGGGAAAGAAAGGGATCTCAGAGAGCCTTTCAGGGCAGGAAGAATGGAGTAGCTTCATGCCAGTTTGTTTTACAGCATAGAAGCTCACGTATGCTCTGGCCCTCTCACAGGGCCAGAGATGAGCCGCCTTGGAGGTGTCACCCAGCTCTGTGTCGCCACTCCAAGGGCAGAGGGCACGTCCCTCCCTCGGGACCGTCTCTGCCTTTGCTGCCATCAGAACTGCGAGGAAGGCTCTGGGCCCCACGTCTGTGCTACTCACACAGACGTAAACTCAGCTTGTTTTCATTAAAGTCAAACCTTTTGGGACAAAGGAAACTGCGATGGAAACTTGGTTTAAAGTTGGTGTGACACAAGTACTCGAACAACATTGTGCACTTGCTTGTGACCGCCTGTCGTAGCTTCCATGAGGTTGGCAGCCACCGTCAGCAGGAGGCTCTCGGGTGTGTTTGAGCCCCGGACCCGTGAGCACCTCACCGCAACTGACCTGCTTTTCCGCCTGTCCCCCGACTTCCCCGACATCAATCATTTCCTTGTTTTCTTTCTTTTTTTTTTTTAAAGAGAGCAAGTGAGCGTGTGTAAGAGGTGGGAGGGAGGGGCAGAGAGATAGGTAATCTTTTTTTTTTAAGATTTTATTTATTCATGAGAGACACACACACACAGAGAGGCAGAGACACAGGCAGAGGGAGAAGTAGGCTCCATGGGGGAGCCCGACGTGGGACTCGATCCCGGGACCCCAGGATCAGGCCCTGGGCTGAAGGCAGGCACCAAACAGATGAGCCACCAGGGCTGCCTGAGAGAGAGGAAATCTTAAATGGCTTCCACACCCAACACAGAGCCCAGCTTGGGACTTGATCTCACGACCCTGAGATCATGACCTGAGCTGAAGTCAAGAGTCTGATGCTTAATGGGGACCTGCATTGTTTTCTTTTTAAAAATCTGTTACTATTTTTAAAAATGGAAGTATAGTTGACATAATGTTCCATTAATCTCAGGTATACAGCAGGTGATGCTGAGCTCACCAGTGTAGCTGCCACCTGTCACCACACCCCGCTCTCACGGCGCCATCGATGACGTCCCCATGCTGTGCCTCTGATTGTGACCATTCATTCTACAGCTGGGCGCTTGGGCCTCCCCCCCCCCCCCCGCAACAGTCTGTTCTCTGTATTTGCAAGTCTGTCTCTGCCTTTCGTTTCTTTGTTTATTCATTTGTTTTTATATTCCACAAGTAAGTGAAATCATATGGTATTTATCTTTCTCTGACTTATTTCACTTAGCTTAATACCCTCTAGGTTTATTCATGTTGCAAATGGCAAGATTTCATCCTTTTTATGGCTGAGTAATATTCCATCACAGACCCCACAACGTCTTGGTCCTTGGACAGTTGCTTCCATATCTTGGCTACTGTAAATGTTGCTGCAATGAACATAGGGGTACAGTTATCTCTGAGAATTAGTGTTTTTGTTTTCTTTGGGTAAATACCCAGCTGTGGGATTACTGGATCATGTGCTAATTCTACGTTTAGTTTTTGAGAAACCTCTGTACTATTTTCCACAGTGACTGCACTGGTTTGCATTCCCACCAACAGTGCACGAGGCTTCCTTTTTCTCCACATCCTCACCAACACCTGTTTCTTGTGTTCTTGATTCTAGTGTTTATCATTTTCCTATACAACTGTAGATAATGATTGTTTCAAAGATTTTACTTGTCAGGGAGAGAGAGAGAGAGCATGAGCAGGAGGAGCGGCAGGCAGAGGGAGAAACAGACTCCCCACTGAGTAAGGAGCCCAATGTGTGGGGCTCGATCCCAGGACCCCATGGGGTCATGACCCATGCCAAGGGCAGATGCCTAACTGACTGAACCACCCAGGCGCCCTTAGATAGTGATTTTTAAAAATAACTTCAATTAATGATTACTTGTTAATCTATTTTTCTTCGATGGATATTTGTATTATGAATGTTTCTCATATATTTTGAAATCATGCATTTGTCAGATCATTCATTTTATTTCTTTGCTTAAAATTGTGATTGAGATTGATGTCAAGAATGGTGAATGGGTATTTTTAAAGTGTTTCTAAACCATGAAACTGGGCAGCCCGGGTGGCTCAGCGGTTTAGCACCACCTTCAGCCCAGGGCGTGACCCTGGAGACCCGGGATCGAGTCCCACGTCGGGCTCCCTGCATGGAGCCTGCTTCTCCCTCTGCCTCTCTCTCTGTGTCTCTCATGAATAAATAAATAAAATTAAAAAAAAAAAACCATAAAACTTTTGAAAGCTAAGTATGTGGAAATGCTTTTCCCCTTAGAGCTCCAGTGCCTGTTGGATTTTTGCCAAAACGTAAGTTGACAGCATACAATTCCTTACACATCGATGTAGGTCCAGTACGATGACTCCGTAGAAGAGCCGAGACTGGGTGGCGAGGGAGCCCGGCTACCGAAGGATGAACGGCGAGGAGGAATTCTTTGATGCCGTCACAGGTGAGCAGGGCAGGAATTGACTCAGAGGCCGTGGTGCGGGCGCGAGACCTCGGGCCGGGTCCCAGACTTGGCCTGGGGGTGTGAGAAGGCCTGGGAAGGCGAGCAGGTGGAGGTGGGACCCATTCCCATCACTGACACTCAGCAGAAGCCTGCGAGGGAGGCTGTGGGCCACGGGCGGTAACGAGAAAGGACAAGAGTTGCCCTGGAGCGTAGACACTTTTATTTGGATCCCCAAGTGAGGTGGTCAGTTTTCTTATGTTATTTGTACTTCCTGATCCAAGCCTTGCTGTCTTAACGTTGGGACTAGATCTGGTTTGGCACCACTCGGAGTACAAACCCCAAGTAGAGGGGGTCTGTGCCGACAAAGCTGCTCCCGCTGGTACGGAGTGCAGCGGGCCTCCCTTCTCCCGGGACCGTTTGCAGGACCGGCACGCAGCCTGTGGTCCGGCCTCCTGCAGATGACAGGGGAGCCCGATGGGAAATAGTGCGTGGAGGTCCTGTGTGCGCGGGGGCGGGCAGGCCGGGGTGGGCAGGCTGGGCGGCCTTGCCATGGCCTCTCCCCGCCCCGGCGCTAGAAGAAGCCCCTGGCACCTGAGCGAGCAAGTGAGTGGTGACCGTGTGGTCCTGAAGGCTCCTCGAGTTCAAGACGGCCCTCAGAGTCAACACTTGTGATGTCGTCGTCATCTGCCGAGGATTGTTGGTGGAAAGGGACTTCAGGAGCCCCTCGAGTCCAGCTCCCCCGTCCTTAGCTAGAGGAATACAGTAGCAACTTTGAACTATTTCTCTGGGCCAGGGGTTTAGTAGCAGACTTTCAGGTCAGAGGGGCTCCTTCTGCCAGCAATTGCTGTGGCTGTCCCCTCTGGGCCAGAGTGTCTGTCCCCCGGAGCCCTGGCAGAGCTTGGGGCCTCGGTCACTCACGGGCCATGCTCCTCCTTCCAGACCAGGGGTCGCGGGCCCGGTGACTGGCAGCCCGAGACTGTTGATGTCTCTGAAGCTCAAGAAGCAGGAGGCGCTGAGCTCCCTGTGGTTTTCAGAGGCTAAACTACTAAGTCCTCTTCCGTGATCTCATAGAAGCAGTGCTCCTCATAGATGTGCTCCTAGGACACTGTCCGCCCAACCTGCTCGCTCCTCAGCAACCACTTGGTTATTCCTGCTGAGTGCGGTGGTCTTCAGGGGCTCGTGCCCTCGGATCACCTGGCCCTTGCGGGACCACTGGGCCTGTAACCAAAGAGGTGGGCCCCTACCTTTGGGGCCTCATGGGACGTTTCCTCTTGCCAGGGACCCTGCACCCAGATTCCTGAACATCTATGAACTTTGCCTGGAGATTTTTCTCTGGGGAGGACTTGAGCTTTGTGCAGTGTGCCGTCTAGAGAACCTCTGTCTCTGCCTCTGCGCATGGCGACACTCTTCTGCGTGTCCCTGAGACAGAGGTGGAGGGGGCAGCTGTCCGGGGACAGCACTTTCTCACCTCAGTCCTTCCATTCCAAACCAAATAACAGCAGAAAAGCACCAAGTCTCCCAGTGCGATGGTGCACGTGAGACGGGCAGAGTGCTGACCGCTTCACCGTGTAGACTAGTCTGACTTTGTAACTGTGGAAAAAGTAGGAAAGAGAATCCAAGCCTGGCGCTTACTAGATGAATGGTCTGGTAGGCGGTACTTCGTCCAAGAACCGGCACTATTAAAGGGAAAGGTTTTAAGGTACATGGAAAACACACACAGGAACAGACTGATCTGGTAAACATGTGTGACTCGGGCACCTGCGGGCCTCGGTCAGTGAGGCGTCTGCCTTCGGCTCAGGTCAGGATCCTGGGGTCCTGGGATCGAGTCCTGCATTGGGCCCCCTGCTCAGCAGGGAGACTGCCTCTCGCTCTCCCTCTGCCTGCTGCTCCCCCTGCTTGTGTGCGTGTGCAAGTTCCCTCTCAGTCAAATAAAAAATCTTTAAAAAAAGTGTGTGTGCCTCCGAGTGACCAGATTACAGGTGATTTCAGGTTTCTCCTGTGCTTATCAGTCTTTTCTGTTTCTTACAACATATGTCGCATATGAAAGCGTATAACCCGTTCACACAGCGCTGTGTTAGTCCGAGAAGGGATGTCAGCATGATCGTCAGCGATGTGTTGCCTTGTTTCCTGGGTGCGTGTTCAGGCAGGACCTCCTAGTGTCGGGGGACCCGAGGGGACAGGGGTATTTGGGGGAAGGTGGTTGGGCGGGTCCAGCAGGAAAGGAGCAAGGGGCGCCTGGGGGGGCTCAGTCAGTGAAGCGTCTGCCTTCAGCTCAGGTCATGACCCCTGGGTCCTGGGATTGAGCCCCACGCGGGGAGCCTGCTTCTCCCTCTGCCTGCCGCTCCCCCTGCTTGTGCTCTCGGGCGCGTGTGCTCTCTTCTCTCTCTCTCTTTCAAATAAGAAATAAATAAATACATTTTTTAAAAAAAAGCAAAGTTTAGACTGAGGATTAAATAGATGTTGCAGTTGGGTGGGTAAGAAGATGAGAGGTGGCAGGCTGTTTTAGGAAATATTGATCCTTTGAGAGGCTCGTTCTGGACGTTCCTTTCAAAGCCAGCGTGTGGTGAACATCGGTGCTGCATCTTGTGAACCTGTCGGCACGCAGGAGTAGCAGAGAGGGTTCTTTTTGCGTCTTCTCAGGAAAGTGTAGCAGCAGATTTGTTGATGTTTCGGGTCTGACAGCACTTCCCCACCTGGCCTTATGCCCTCGCCTTCGTCTGCGCAGTGAGGGGTGGCAGGAACTCAGCTCCCGGTGGGTCTTGTGTCCCCCTGCAGTGGTCACGGTCATGCCGAGCACCGCGGGCCCGGAGCACCTTCCTCCCCCCCCCCCGGGTGGGCCTGCTGCCTGGCAGCCGCGGCTCGGTGCCCAGCGTGCCTGGGAGCAGGAGGCGTGTGCCGCAGTGAGCTGTGCCAGCCGATGCAAGAGGAGCGGGCCTCCTTTTCCCTGTAGGGGCTGTTCCTTTGGGAGAGGGCTCTCCAGGGGGGACAGGGCCGCGGCCCGGGGCGGGCCAGCCACATCCCACACTGGCCCTCAGGAACCCACTGCCCACGCTCTTGGTCGGTGTGGGATGCTTGCTGAGCTCCAGCTGCTTGTTCCACGCTCAGGTTCTTGCTCACGAGCATGAGAGTCTGGCAGAGCGTTTGGTACACGTTCCTCTTCCTTAGAAGCTACTGCCGTGGCTTGTGTTCTAGAACTAGAGGCAGAACTTGACTGCGGAGCGTGTGCAGAGACCGAGTTTGCTGCAGCCTCGGCTGGCCTGGCTGCTGTCGGGGCGCCCGCCCCACAGGGAGTGAGGCCTGACCGAAGCAGGGACAGACTGCTCCCTGCCGGCCCCCGGGCCTCGGGTGGGGGCCGGGTCTCAGCGGCTCCTGGGAAGGCCCGGGAGAGCAAGCCTGCCCGTGTCCCTGCCTCCACCTGGGGCTTTTGGGGAGCAGAGCTCGCTGCTGCAAACCGTGTCCGTTAGAAACAATGTGGAGCTCAGGCATGGTCAGAACTCTTGGAGGTGGGCTGTTACAGCTTCCCAGTCCCCGAGGATGACCATTCTGCTTGTTGCGTGCAGGCTTTGATTCTGAGAACTCTTCCGGGGAATTTTCAGAGGCAGATCCGAGAGTTGCTGGAGTGATGCGCGTGGACACCGGTAGAAGTAACGGGATTGGAAAGGTCGGGGAGAGGCCCCCCCGAGAGAATGGGATTCAGAAACACAGGTATGTCGTCCTACATGTGTGTTTTAGAATCTTCCGCTGTATCTGTGGCCGCCCCCCACCGTGCTGCAGGGCGCCCCTTCAGTGCTCTGGAGGCCTGAGTGGGAGGAGCGACCCCGCTCGTGGCACCTGATAGGGGACTATAAGGTCACCCTCCTCTTGAGACGAGGACTGGCCCTGCTCCTCTGGCTTCGGCCCCTGTCCCGTTGTCCCTGGTCCCAGCCGACTGAGGCCTCTTTGCAGTCCTTAGGTGGCCCGGGCCTTTCTCACGGCAGAGCTCTGCTGCGGCCACGGCTCTCTCCTCCGTGTCTCTTTAGTTCTGGCTTTTCCCTCCTGACTCACACAAGGCTCACCTCAGTGCCCCTCCCCTCCCCGTGGCACCCCTCAGTTTGCACTTGCCCTGCTGTGGCCGCTCCCAGTGTTCCCAGAACCCAGAGGAGGGGGGGGGGGGCAGAGCCAGTGTGGGGTACTGGCAGCCTGCCGTGTGATGCTCGTAAATGTTTTCTTTCCCGTTTCATCCCCAGCGGCCTGCTTCTCCTTCCCTCTCACCCCGACATAAGCAGTGTGCCCCGAGCCGGCTGCCCCTAATGGGATATCCCCAGGGGCAGGCACGCCCTCCTGCCTGGGCCAGCGCACCTGCTGTCATTGTTCTGCAGCTCAGAGCCATCAGGTGGGGGTGGGGGTGTCTGAGCCAGGAGCCCCTGCTGTGGGTGTAGTTGGACCTTACCCAGAGCCAGAAGCCAGTGGGAAGTGCAGGGCAGGACCCTGGGACCCCGGTGGCACCTTCTAGGGCCCCCCACGCTGTGGCTGCCTGCCGATGGTCTCTGTCTTCAGTGCGTGGGTCCAGCATGCTTCCCCCCAATCTGGATTCACAGCCCACTTGGACACCCCCTTTCCAGGCGGAGAGAGCATCTCCTCCAGCCCCAGGTTCCCAGGAGGGAGACTGCCGGGTTTCCCCTGGCAGCTGGCAGGAAGAGGGCCTGAAAAGAAACTATACCTCAGGAGAACAAACTCATATTTGAAAGGGGCTTATGGCCCACTTCTGGAAAGGTGTTAATTCGCTTCCCACTTGTGTCCTCATGCCCGTGGGCCTGCGGCTGCTCCAGGGGAAGGGGCGCCCCATCCCCCACTCTGTGGAGGAAGAGGAAAGTTGTCTGTGTGGTCACGACCATTTCCTGGGAGACCCTCCAAAGCACCTGTGCAGAAACCTGTCTTCGGGATTTAACAACCCTAGCTGCTGCCAGAGCCCACAAATGCGGTGTTTGCATCTAAAAACTAAAAAAACTGGTCACTGAGCAAAATCATCGACTGAACTCGAATCTTCTGCTGGAGGAATAAATATGTGTTTGTCTGGTCGATTCTTTATAGGACGTCATTGCCCGCCCCGATGTTTACCAGAAGTGATTTCAGTGTGTGGAGTATATTAAAGAAATGCATCGGCTTGGTAAGTTCACATGGGCTCACCTTGGGGCTTCAAGCTGAAACTTTTTTTTAAGATTTTATTTATTTATTCATGAGAGATACAGAGAGAAAGGCAGAGGGAGAAGCAGGCTCCCTCTGGGGAGCCCGATGCAGGACTCGATTCACTGACCTGGAATCACGACCTGAGCCAAAGGCAGATGCTTAGCCACTGAGCCACCCGGGCATCCCTGAAACATTTTTATTTCCCATGAATTTGTTGCTCGGCTGGTAGTTGAAGATGTGCTCTGCATATTTATAGCGACATGAAACGAGGGTAATAAAATAGGAAAGGGACAGAGACAGAGGAGAAGAGGAGAGAAAGGCCCAAGTGTTTGCAGACAGCAGGAAAACAATCCCGCAGGTCAAACTCTGGATGTAGGGAGCATCACAAGGGTTTAGGTTCGACCTTGGTGTTCTGTGACGGGCTCCTCGCTGGCTGGCTGTGGACAGTCTGCAGGACTGGGGAGCTTCGGTGGGTTCCCTGACGCACGCTGAGGCCAAGCCGTGGGCAGGCGTGCAGGATGTGGGTCACCGTCCCCCAGCCCCGCACCGGGCTGCAGGCAGAGCTCAGGTGCTCTGGGTTTGCAACAGAACAGTTAGTTGGATGGTTGGTGTCCTGGAGCCACAGACTTTTCTTCTCATGGTGTCCGTGCCTGTCTCAACCGGCCGTGGGAATGTGAGCTGTGTCCCCTTGGGAGGAACGAGCGCCCCCATGGGCCGTGGGGCGACTCAGACTCCAGTGAGTGTTGTACCAACAGACATGTGGCCCTGTCCCCGGTGCTCCTCGCATGCATGCTGCTGCATTTGTTTCTGCCCTCAGCTGTTTATCAGCCTTTTTCCAAGAGGAAACTGCATCTTTTCTCCTACTTTTATTTTATTTTATTTTTATTTTTTTTAAAGATTTTTAATTTATTCATAGAGACAGACAGAGGGAGAGAGGGGCAGAGACACAGGCAGAGGGAGAATCAGGCTCCATACAGGAAGCCCGACATGGGACTCGATCCCGGGTCTCCAGGATCACACCCCGGGCTGCAGGCGGCACTAAACTGCTGTGTCGCCGGGGCTGCCCACCACTTTTTATTTTGAAATAATTTTGGACTTCTACAAGATTGCAGAGGCGCATTGAGCTGCGTTTACCCTTCACGCAGCTGCCTGTGGTGGTGACCTCTCACATAGTAGCCAGAGCCCAGTGAGCGACACAAGGGGATTCCTGTTGGAGCGTCACTGGTCACCTCACGGGGGACTTGCTTTCGTACTTTCTCCCCTGCTGCCCTGCTGGAGGGCGGTGTTTAGACATCACGACCCTACGCTGGATGTGCTCGCCACTGCTGGGGTGTCACTGCCCCAGGCCTCTCGCAGACACAGCTGGGAAACCCGAGTATGCCTTATGACCCTGCTTGCACACCTACATATTTTTGTACCCACTTATCTTTTATTTCTTTTTTATGATTTGGTTTTTTGAAAAGATTTTTAAGTAATCTCTACAGCCAATGTGGGACTCAAACTCACAACCTTGAGATCAAAAGTTGCAGGCTCCTTTTACTAAGCCAGCCAGGCGCCCTGCATGTCTCTTCTGTTTTAAAATGGCAAAAAAAACAAAACAAAACAAAACAAAACAAAACAAAAAAGATAAAATAAAATGGCACATTTGGGATTCTTTTCTCTTAGCAGTGTTCTCTCCTACGTTTTTCACTGTGTGAGTGGGTCAGGTCTGGACAGCTGTGTCTGTCCGAGGTTGGGTGATAAACTTGACTAGCTCCTTGATCTCAAAGCTTGTTCGAGATCCCTTGTCATAAAGGGACACCGTTACCTTGCATTCCTCAAGGAATCCACCTTGGATGGATTCAAATAGAAGCTGAACAAAACGTGGGTCGTGGGTGGCATGTTCCCAGGGCTGCACCTGCTCAGCATCCATGGGCTTTGCCTCTGAAGTGGTGATACTGCCCTCTTTGTACTGCTTTGGCCACTGAGCAGCGGCGACACAGTGGCCCACGTGGGCTATTTGAAGCACGCCCAGCAGCAAGCAGAGCTGCGTAATCCCCTGGCTCACCGCGGCAGCCAGGGCTCATCACACCCCAGCCACACCTCATTGCTTCCCACTCCCCTAGTATTTTTTTTTTAAGATTTTATTTTTTTATTCATAGACACACAGAGAGAGAGGCAGAGACACAGGCAGAGGGAGAAGCAGGCTCCATGCAGGGAGCCCGATGTGGGACTCCATGCAGTTCCCCAGGCTGTTCCCACAGGCAGAAAAGCAGGGAGCCCAATGCGGGACTCGATCCTGGGACCCCAGGATCACGCCCTGAGCCAAAGGCAGGCACTCAACTTCCTGAGCCACCCAGGCATTCCCAGATTACTTTTTAAAAAGATTTTTATTTATTTGAGAGAGAGAGTAGGAGGGAGAGGGAGAGAGAATCTGAAACAGACTTGCTGCTGAGCTCAGAGCCTGACATGGAGCTCGATCCCAGGACCCTGAGATCATGAACTGAGCTGAAACCGAGGGTTGGACACTTACCTGACTGAGCCACCCAGGTGCCCCAGATTGTTTTAACACAACCACAGTCCTGATACCGTAATATGTTTATGCCGTCAAATTCAGTGGCACCTGGGTGGCTCAGCGGTTGAGCATCTGCCTTCGGCTCAGGGCGTGATCCCAGGGTCCTGGGACTGGGCTCCCTGTATGGAGCCTGCTTCTCCCTCTGCCTGTGTCTCTGCCTCTCTCTTTCTGTCTCTCATAAATGAATGAATAAAATTTTTTAAAAAAAGAGGAAATATCAAATTCTCCATTGTCTCGAGTGCCATTCCCGAGTCTGTGCTGCTCAGGCTGTGTGGACACCTCTCTGTTACTCCTCTCCTGACTTTGAGCCCCTGATGCCTAGTGTGTGAGCTGCGCCAGCGGCATCGCTCTTCCTTTATTTCCTGGGACACTTGTGTGTCAAAAACGTGCCCTTCCACTGCTGTGAGTGTGGTTTGCATAAGAAAGTCAGGGTCAGTGGGTGATTCTTTATCACAGTTGTCAAGTGATGGATTTGGTTCAGTAGCCTTACCCAGCATGACCAGTATAACCAGCTAGTTTGTCTTCTACTGTTTTTTAAACTCACAGAGTTGAAGCTCCATGCTGTGTTCTGGTCCCCGAGCTGCTCTGTCTGTGGCTGGTACTGGGGTCTTCAGGTTGGCTGTAACCCTTTACAGAAGATGCTCTGGCTCATTCTGTACCTTTCTTGTCCAGGATCTGGAATCAGCTCCTTGTCCAGGGAGAGAGGACTCAGGACCACAGCTGGGCCCCGGGGAGGCTACAGGTTGCTTTTTCTAGGTCTTTCCCAAAGGAGCTGTTTTGATTTGTGTCAAGGGTGCTTTAGATTTGGGATGGCAGGACTAATGTAATCTCTGTCTCACTGTGTCTGTGCCTCTTTTCTCCCACACCGATAATCCCAGTGTTTAACAACGCTGGAGATGACCGGTTTAGGTGAACACGTAATGAGTGACTCACCTGCTCTGTCCCACACGCAGAACAGTTCTGGAGAACGGGACCAGCTCTGCGGCCAGCAGCACATTTACTGAAATGTGCGAGTTCACTGGCTTTTGTGGTTCATTTCGTCCTTAGGGTATATCTCAAGTCACCGTGGTCCGTCTATGGGTGGCTACGCCCGAGGGGCTTGTGTGTGTTCATTTGTTTCATCATATTCTTGGTGTTTGGAGGTTGCTTTTCTAAATTAATTTTGTTTCAAAATTGTAAACCCAAAGTCACATCTTTCAGATGAGATTCCAAGGTATATTCCAAGAATTTAGCTTCCTGTCTCTGGCCTCCGTGTGCCCATCCCCTTCCCCCGGAGGGGACCACTTCACAGCTTTCGGGTCCATCTTCCCATGCTTCAGAAAGCTGATTGCGTGTTTAGACAAACTAGAGGCTGTTCCGCCTTTTCCCCGGTGCGGTACAGCCATTGCCATGTGGGGCTACTGCTTATGCCATTGGTCACTGCGTTGTGCTGTGTCCTCTGGCTGCCCACACCAGCTGGGGCCCCGTGGGGACGTTTGAGTGACATCTGGCCTCTGGCTGTTTGCCAGAGGATCTGTGGGATGGGCTCCTGGAAATGGGACCACCAGGCCGAAGGGTAGGTGTGCATGTAGTTGTGCTCCTATGGCCAGGCCCGCTCTGCATGGCTGTACCACTTTGCACCCCTACCAGCAAAGGGGGGCGTCTTCCCCCCAGCCTTGCCCACAAGTGGGTTTGGAGTGTTGCCACTTGAGCAGGTGAGTAGTAGAGCCTCCACATAGTCTACCTTCTTTCTCTGGATGAGTAAGGCGAACATCTTCCCTGCCCTCAGAGCAGAGTGGGCGTGGGGCTTGGGTTCCAGGGGAGAGCCCCTGCGTGACGAGTCTTCTTGCTCCTTCTAGGAGCTTTCCAAGATCACCATGCCCATCGCCTTCAACGAGCCTCTGAGTTTCCTCCAGCGGATCACAGAGTACATGGAGCACGTGTACCTCATTCACAGAGCCTCGTGCCAGCCCCAGGCCCTGGAGAGGATGCAGGTAGGTGCTGGGCTCCCCTCAGGGGGCAGCAGACATTGAGCTTGGGGGTGTCAGATCGTAGTTCTTGGGAACATGACAGCGTCTGACGAGCACGTCGTGGTAGGGCCCAGGCACCTCGTCGGGACGCTTGGGGGAAGGGCCCACACGTCTGGGTGCTGTCCCGCTCAGCCACTCTGAGGTGTTGCGCAGCCTGAGCTCCACAGGTGGTGGTGGCGGGTGTGGCGCCCCAGCTCCTCCTGGCTCCTTTGGGGACCAGCACCCCGTGTGCATGCGGGTGCGCCCGCCAGGCCAACCGGCCCTGCCCGGGGCCTCAAGGCTGGGCTGGGCTGGGGGGCGAAGCCGCACACAGTTCCTGCGTGTGTGGCTTTGAGGAAGTGCTCGTGATGAAGGGCGTTTCTCCGGAAGTTCTGTAATCTCAAAACATGTGACAAGCGGGAGACTGAGGTTGCCGGGAGCGCGTCCCGGCACCGAGAAGCTGTGTGCCTGCGGTGCCCCGGGGGCCCTCGCTCACTGTCGTGTGCGTTGCTCCCAGTGCGTGGCAGCCTTCGCAGTGTCTGCAGTGGCTTCCCAGTGGGAGAGGACCGGCAAGCCCTTCAACCCCCTCCTGGGGGAGACCTACGAGCTGATCAGGTAAGGGCCCGGGGCTGTCGGGCCGCTTGGGCTGGCCGGAGGGCTGGGGACACAGAGGGAGGCCGGGGTCGCGGCCGGGGTGCAGTGCGCATCACAGCACCAGCGGGGGGCGGGTGGCAGTGAGGAAAGGCAGCCTGTGTCACCGGGGCGTCTTGGCAAATGTCACGGGGGGGCAGCTGGAGCTGCAAGGGCAGTAGGCACAGGGGGCATGCTGCAGCCTCCCGAGGCGGGGGGGGGGGGGGCGACTGACATCCCTGCGGGTGGAGTTTGTCTCAGCAGCTCTCCAGCCCGCCCCCCAGCTCTGACCCGGCCCCGCACACCCCACCCCCCAGGATCAGCGGTGGCGGTCCTGGCGGGGCCCCGGGGGGAAGGGCTGGGCCAGTTTGGGCGGCTCTTCCCTGGCCCCGCTGCCCGTGCCAGGTGCCCACCCAGACCAACACGAGCACAAGCTAACGGCAGCGTTGTCTTTTTCCGTCGTGGGCTCAGTGGGTGAGGAGCAGCCCTCCGGCCTGGGCCGTGGTTCCTCTGCAGGCCGCTGGGGGACGGCCGGCGTAGTTTGTCACCTAGCCCTGGGTCCTATGGACAGTCTCTCGGGATGTTTTACTAGTTAAGAGTTTGTTTTCCATTATAAGATCATGTTTTTTGTAGAAAATATGTAAACTGAGCAATGTGAAAGACGAGTCAGATGTAACCCCATAGAAGACAGAGTTCATGTTTTGGGGTGTGTGTGTGTGTGTGTGTGTTCACACGATGCGGTCGTGTTCACGTGTATCGCTTGTCACATAGCATCGTACCATCCTCAGTCCCCACGGCACGTCAAGCTTGTGCTGAGTCACGCTGCTCTGTTGTGTCTGACGTGTGCGCGCGTCGTGCTGTGGCGCGTGGCGCTGCTTCTGTCACGAAGTCAGTAGTGGTGCGTTGTGTGGTCACCGGCAGGTTGGTGTCAGCCCTCAGGCCGTGCTTCTTGGGCTCTTTGTTGCCCTTAATGATGTGGTTCTTAATGATCACGAGTTCTCCAAAGGTGAGTAAATGGCTGTGGGAATGGGGGTGTCGGTCTGCTTGAGTCAGCGCCTGTGCCGGGTGTGTGTCAGCTCGGGTTTCAGAGCTCTGCGGAGGGGTGTCACCTGGAGCCCGCGCCTCTCCACGTGGCTCTCTCAGTGGCTGGGGAAGCGACGCAGACGTCTGGGGCCCGGCTCTCCCTGTCTGTGGGGGCCCGGAGGCAGCGGTCCCCCCTTCCAATGGACCGACAGGCCAGCGACCCCGTGTGCTGACACCTCTCCGATTGCGTTACCTCGAGGAGACTGCCGTGGGGTGTGCTCGTGGTGACAGGAGGCAGCGGGGCCCCGTGTGACGATGGCACCTTGCTGCTCCTTCAGTTCAGACACAGGGAAACTGAGGCCCACATGAAGGGAAGTCCTGTCCTGAGAGTCAATCTTCAGGGAAACTTTTATTCTGAATTCATGTGGAGAGTTCTTTTTTTTTCTAGAATTACCATCTTGAGCAGGAATGACCTCCCTGCAGTCAGAGTGCCAGGTGCCGGGGTTCGAGCCTCTGACCTTGTCTAGTTCTGAGGAGATTGGTAGCATTTTTGTTTATTCAAAAGCACTGGGCAGCCCGGGTGGCGCAGCGGTTTAGCGCTGCCTTCAGCCCAGGGCGTGATCCTGGAGACCCGGGATCGAGTCCCACGTGGGGCTCCCTGCATGGAGCCTGCTTCTCCCTCTGCCTGTGTCTCTGCCTCTCCCTCTGTCTGTGTCTCTCATGAATAAATAAATAAAATCTTTAAAAAAAAAAACCAAAAGCACCATTAACGGATCTTGAAAAGAGAAAGGAAAGCATAATACAAAGGAAGTTCTAGACAATGGGAGATAATGCAGATTAAAAGCCCATGAACAACCCCAAGGTGCTGGAGAGAGTGTGACAGGCCTGCGTGTTCGTCTTTTCTAGGAAATTAATTTGGGGGTTGAGCCAAAGTTTCAGATGGGCAGAGAAACGAACTTTCTTCTAAACTTGTAGACACTATGCATGTCGTGTCCTGGTGTCCAGGTCGTGCGTGTGGCCGTCGTGTCTGCTGCAGGCCGGGCCCTGAGGGGTCTTCCTGTTTCAGGAGCTACGTATCTGAACCAAGTCATGCTCCATGTCTTTTTCCCTGCAGTTTGCTCCTGGATAGCCCAAAATAGCACTTGCTTTTCTTAGACAAGTATTCATTTTGTAAATTACATACCTGGGTAGGCAACCTTTTAAAATCTAATTTTTCAACTTTCCTTCCTCTGTAATGATTGGAAATTCTGATTCCAGTTAAGTTAGTAATTATGTGGTTTAGCTTTTATAATTTTTAATGACTACAACTGTAGGTGTATTCACAGTTCCGGAACAATTAAAAACTGACATTTTTATTGAAAAGGAGTGTGTACTAAAAATCCGGTTTCCTGGCCAAGAGTATCTTGGGGCATCAAACATTCCATCACAAAACTTCCAGGAGCCTTAGAAAAAGGCTAGAGAAGAACCCCCTTCAGAAAGGCTGCAAACTAAAAAAACAAAACAAAACAAAACAAAACAAAAAAAAAGGCTGCGCACGCACCCCTGTTTTGGTTCATTAGGTGTTGGGTGTCCCTCTGGACGAAGGGGCAGTTTGGTATCGGGGCGTCTCGGTCACTGGTTCTAGGAGGTGCACCAAGACCCGCTTGTGCTGGGGAGCCTCAGGGTAGAAGGCCCCTCTGCACTATTTCTTGTTCCATGTGGCGTGGAGTTCAGCTTTGCCCCAGGGGCACGGTGTTCGTGTGCAGGCAAGTGTGTGTACGGGGTGTCAGCGTCAGGCCATGTGTGAAGTCAGAGCACAAGTGTGGGATATTCCAGCCACCCAGAGTGGCATGGCACCCGTTCCCCAGGGCCCCTCCCGGCCACAAGGGTGCGGTGAGCCGGCCGTGCGGGGGGCCGAGGGGCTCTGCCAAGAGGGCCGCTGAGCCCACCTTTGTCAGATTTTGCTGTGTCTAATGTGGCTGTCCCCCCTCTTGTTTCTGTGCCTAGGGAAGATCTGGGATTCAGATTTATATCCGAGCAGGTCAGCCACCACCCCCCCATCAGTGCATTTTATTCAGAAGGCCTCAATCAGGACTTCCTGTTTCACGGCTCCATCTACCCGAAGCTGAAGTTCTGGGGCAAGAGCGTGGAGGCCGAGCCCCGGGGGACCATCACGCTGGAGCTGCTCAAGTGAGTGCGGGCGGCGTGGGCCGGCGGAGTCGCGTGCGGGCCCAGCCTTCCGGTGGAAGGGCCGCAGCCTTCTCTGTTCAGGCGCTTCCAACCGCAGAAACTCCTTCAAAGAGGGACTCCGCATCAGACCTCACCGGGACGGGTGGGATTCCCACGCCTGCTGGCGGGACAGCTCTCCCTCCGCGTGACCCGGGAGCTTTAGTCACTGCCGCTCGCAGCTCTTCTGCTCCCTGATGGCCCCAAGCGCAGCAGCCTGAAACGGCCACCGTTTGCTCCCCCACATGGTTTCTGGGACCGGGGAGCAGCGTAGCAGGCTGCCCTGGCTTGGGGTCCCTGGAGGTGGCAGGCAGGACGTGAGCCACGCAGCATCCCGAAGGTGGCCAGTGGAGCATCTGCTCCTGGGCTCACTTCCGTGGCAGTTGGCAGGAAACCTCTGTCGCTTGCTGTGGCCTCTCCATGGGGATATCTGTGCACGGCTTGGTGCCGGCGTCCGTGGGAGCTGAGGACCCAAGGGGGGAGGAGCCACCAAGACAGAAGGCGTGGTGTCTTTTACGACCTCATGTTAGAAGTGACCCTTAACCTTAAACCCCTGTTGGTCACACACAGGGCGGGAGGGAGACGAGGGATAACCCCAGGACATAGGGAACGTGGACGTCCCAGAGGCTGCTCACACGCCCGTTAAATCTCGTCCAGATGCTCCCCAGTGCAGTGTTGATCAGACACCTCGCGAAGCAAAACCTGCATCTCTGGCGACCACCTGGATGCTAGAGGACCGGCGTAGGTGGTCCTGGCCGTGGCATGCCTCTGTTCTCGGGGGCGCGAGTCCTGCCAGGGGTAGCCTGCCGGAACCAGGCGTTTGGTACCACTTTTGCTTCGTGCCGGCCCAGCCTGGCTCGTTTCCAGAGAATACCAGCCCCTGAGCCCCGTGCATCCCAGGGCCGATGAGGTCACCGGGCCCAGTGAGGGTACCCCCTTTGCCAGGAAGCGTGCCTGTATGGTGGTGGTCTTTGCTTTCTTGGGGTGAGGTGTGCAGAATTGAAAAGTGGCAGACATTACTGATTAATGCGTGTGGGTTCCCCCTGGAAATTTGAGGGGCTCCAGATATTTGTCCTGAAATACTTTTGCTTCGAGCTGATCTCTGCCCTTTATGCCTCATTATGGCTTTTGACACGGCCTCTCTCGAGACGCGGGTCTGGTGATCTTGCTTCACATTCGCGGGGGTTTCTCCTTGGTCAGGCCGTTTGGGGAGGGTGAGGGATAAATGCAGAGGCATTTGGAACATTGTTCCAACAGTCGGTGCACCCCAGCATCCCTGCCACGGAGCGGCTCCCCGGCCCCCTGGGCCGGTGCGGGACAAGCAAGTCCTGCTGGCAAAGGGGCTGTTGTGTGACAGCTTCCCAGGACAGCCGTGTCCCTGTCTCAGTGGTCTCCTCTTGCTTATTAACTTGTCTTGACATTTAAGTAGAAAGCTTTGTTGATGCTACAAAGGAAAGCAGAAATAAATTTCAAACAAATGCTAAATAAATCACCACCGTTGGAGTGAGTTCAAAGCAGTGTTCTGCTCTTGTACAGATTTTAAGGCAATTATGGTTTAATTCTGTCTGGTATTTTGCTTTTTAGGTCACGCAGTGTCTCTCTCTTTGCTGGCCTCTGACTTGCTTGTTTTCTGGCATGTTTCACAGACACAATGAAGCCTACACCTGGACCAACCCCACCTGCTGTGTACATAACGTAATCATCGGGAAGCTCTGGATAGAGCAGTATGGAACCGTGGAGATTTTAAACCACAGGTAATAGCGCCCGTGGTTGAGTGGTGGTCAGCCCGGGCGGATGTGCAGACGCGCCGTGTCCTCGAGGGGCGCCCCCGCCCTGCCCACGGCCACGGCGTCCTGGGGCTGCCTTGCCTGCAGGGAGGGCCGCGCCGGGTGCTGGGGGGCTGGCCGGCGTGGACGCTGCTCAGCGCTCCCACTGTCTTTGGTGCCCCTTGTTGCTTCGTGTTTTGGTTTTAGGCACAATAGTGAATTTGTTTTGAGCTTCTAAACTCTGAGGAAGAATGGCGTGATCCCGGACGAAAGTCCCAGCCCTCCTCGGGTGGATGCTACCTGCTGTCTGTACCTTCTTCCTGGGAATTCATGGCCTGTCAGCTTTGTTCTCCAGCAGCTTTCTCGAGATACTCGCATATCCTAAGATTCACCCGTTGAAAGTGGAAGCTTCAGTGATCTTTAGCGTGTTTACTGAAGCGTGCAGCCATCAGCACCGGGCAGTGTGGGGCGTTTCTGTCACAGCAGCAGGGTCCCCCTGCCCCCTCCCGGCCCCCGCCGCCTCTGTGTCCCCACGCGTCTCCCCCAGACATTGCACGTCACACAACAGAAGCCTGTGTGTGTTTTCCCCACAGGACTGGAGACAAGTGTGTGCTTCATTTTAAACCTTGTGGATTGTTTGGAAAAGAACTTCACAAAGTGGAGGGGCACATTCAAGACAAAAAGTAGGTCTACACGGACGCCTCAGCGGGGCTCCTCCGGCACATGCGCCTTGCTAGTGGTGCAGTGATGCCAGTGACATCTGTTCGCGGTAGAAAAAATGATGGTCCTGTGTTGTTTAGAAAAGACATTTCCTTGTTGAGTCTGCAGGGAGACGAAGGCTTAGTTTTAAGTGTCGTTTCCGGGTGGTGACTGGTGAGGGTCTCTCTCTCTCTCTCTCTCTCTCTCTCTCGAGGATGAAAGATCTGAGTCTGTTTTCTTTGGGTAAAGCGGATGTGAGGAAATGAGGTGTCCCCACAGAGAGCTAATACTCTGGTTTTGCAGCCAGAACTGAGGTTGGAAACGTGAGCGCGTCGCCTCCTCTTAGCGCCTGCATGGGTCGTTGAGCACAACTCAGACCCTAGCCCGTGTGAGCCTCCCTCTCAGCGGCTGGTTCTTTCTAGCCTCTAAGCGAGGGACTTTTAAAGTATTTGTGAGCAGAGAGACAGGAGTTCACAACAGACCTTCCGGGGTTTTCTGTCCTTTGGGCTAGTTACCTTATGTTTTTGGTCTCAGATTTCTCATTTTTATTCCCTGGTAAGGAATTTGGGTCTTATATAATGTCAGGAAGCTCCTTCCAGCTCCAAAAGCTATACATTTTCTTTTTTTCTTTTCCCCTCTTTTTTTAAAAAGTAGTCTCCGTGCCCAACGTGGGGCTTGAACTCACCACCCCGAGATCAAGGGTCACATGCTCCACCCACTGAGCCAGCCCGGTGCCCCCTACACATTTTTAATTAGAAACAAGTTTTCAGTATAAAGCAGTGGATGCTTCCTCTCCTTCCTACTCTTTGGGTACCAGAAAGTCACCCATTCACACAGCCTGCAAGGTGCTTTCAGGCGTTAGACTCTGAGCACCTTGCCCGTTGAAGTAGGTCAGGACTCAGCCCGCAGACGTGCGGGGACAGCAGCCCTCTTTACAACAAGAGCACTGGCCAGCGCCTGCGCGGCCTCTCCCTGGTGGTGGAAACAACCCAGGCGGAGACCGTGGTCAGCTCACCTGCAGACACGGGGCCACAGGAGCCGAGTCCCTGCCACGCCTCGAGGCCACGCTCACCAGCCCTAAGGGGCTGCAAACCCTTTTCTGATTTCCTGGTTTTCTGTCCTAAATTGGAGTGAGCTCTTCCTAATGCTGTGCCTCTCGGATGCAGACTGTGCCAGCCAAGGTGTCTGCCAAGTGAGGACTGGTCAAGTGTCGCCTCACCAGTGCCTGCGTGCCAGCTTTCCAGGCTGAGCCTTGGAGACAGGGGCGCACTCCCAGGATGCCACGTGCCCGGCAGAGTAGCATTTCCAGAGCACACATGGCCGCTGTGCTTTCCCCGCAGGAGGATGTAAAAAAGAAAAGCAAAAACGGCCCAGCGCTCTTGGCATCCCTTTTGGAATCAGGCAGAGTGCTCTGGTGGTTGATCTGGAAAGTCTCCAGAGATTGTTACTAAACGAAAATCGCAGGCAAGCGATGACGTGGGCATCCAGTGTGTGGTTAGAAAGACAGAGCAAACCATGTCACTGGAATTGGAAGGGCTGTTGATGTGATTTATAGGGAAGAGGGGAGGACAGAGTGCGTGGAAGTTCGTGCGTTTCAGGGACAGTGACCAGACCAGCACGCAGGCGCAAATGACACCAGACGCCCTCGTTTCTCACCTCCTCTTGTTGGCAGGGCCCTGCCAGCGACCCTTTGGGGCTTTGTGTCCTTATCTTCTTCACTTTGCTTTGGCAAATCAGGCCCAAGGAGGGATCCTAAAAGGCAGATTTTCCTCTTTGCACTTATGTCCAGAGAAGTCCTAACATCGATAAGGAGACAAGTGAGAACAGAGGTTGATCCCATGGTCAGAAGTAACATACTGCATGTTTAGATGAATGATTTATGATTAAAATTCCCTTTGATGGGGCGCCTGGCCGGCTCAGTTGGAAGAGCATGTGACTCTTGATCTCGAGGTGGTGAGTTGGGTGTAGAGATTATGGAGAAAGATAAAGTTTAAAAAAACAAAAATAAAAATTTCCTTTGACTACAGCAAAAAGAAGCTCTTTATGATCTATGGAAAATGGACAGAGTGTTTGTGGGGCATAGACCCTGCTGCGTATGAGTCCTACAAGAAACGGGAGAGGAGGGGTGACCCCCTGAGCAAGGCACAACCGGTAAGTGCTGCCCCCTGCACTGCCCCTCCCCAGGGGGGAGCAGACCCGATGGGTGGGCCCCGGCTTCCGGCTGCTGGAGACGAGTGCTGGGAATCAGCCGTCCCTCTGCTCCCTGTGTGTGGAGCCCCCGCTGGGGAGGAGGAAGGCCTGCGATCTGCCTGTCAGAGCGAGACTGCTTGTCTGTCTGGGTGCTGCACGGGGCGGAGCGTGTGTTTATCTGCATTTCGATTGTGCGGAGGCTGCTGTTGTCAGCTGGGCTGGGGTCTCGGTGCCCCCGTGTCCCCCCAAGCAGAATCCAGCGCACCTGTGTTTCTTCCTGGGAACCCTAGGCTCTGGGTGCTTCTTCATAAACCTCCTGTCTTCCTGCACCTTGCTAGCTTAGACCCTATTAAAAAATCAAGAGAACGTCATGTCTGTGTTTTTAGTTCTGAGAACCAGATAATATATTCCACAGTCAAAAAGTTTTGGCAACAATACTTTTTCCCTGGAGCTTTGGAATACTGATTATCTTAGGGCTAATTATTCTTGAGCTTAAAACTAGAAATGAGGATGGCTCAGGTCACGATCCCAATGTCCTGGGATTGAGCTCCACGTTGGGCTTTCTGCTCAGGGAGGAGCCTGCTTCTCCCTCTGCCCCCTCCCTGGTTGTGCTCTCTTGCACACGCGTGCTCTCTCTCTCAAATAAATAAAATCTTAAAAAAAAAAAAAAAAACAAGCAACCCAGAACTAGAAGTGGTAGTTCGAAAGAAGTGTCCAGTTTTTTGAGGTAAGAAGTCATGGACCAAACCCAAGGTTCAACGGTTATTTCACAAAGGTGTTCGGCCTCCCCTGGGGTTTCGGTGTCTGGCACTGTGGCGTTCCGTGGGTGCCGTCAGACGGTTCTTCTAATGGTGCTCTTTTACTTGAAAAAAAGGAAAGTTGCATTTGAAGACCACACAGACTCAGAATATGGAATCCATTGAGGATTGGCTTTTAATGCCTTAGCTTGGCTTCGTTGTCTTTTGGGTAACCTAGATGTGAGAGAGAGTTTTATGTGAACACACATTGCCAAGCAGCCTTTATTTAGCCTCTGGCACCAAACCCCATCGAAGTCGGCTCAGGTGGGGGGTCCTGAGGCCACCCGGTCCCACTCAGGCATTCTCCTGTGACCACTGCAGGGCTGCCCACTTCTTTCTCCAGGCCCCACTGATTTTAAAAAGTCAGGTCGTAGTTGTATCTTTTGCTTTCAATGTGGTCTCCAGTTGGGGTTCAGGCTAGAAGCGCTAGGTAACCGTGAAATCGCCACACGGAAGCCAGTTCTTGACTGTGGGCAGGGCTGCTGCATGAGGACTGTCTCCAGCCCAGGAGCCGCCCTTAGCAAGAACCGTAGGAGCTTTTCTAGAAGGTGTCGCCCCCCGCTAATGGTGAGCAGACTCGCTCGAGTGTCGTTTTGTGCTGCAGGTGCCTCTTCCTGCAGGAAAGCCCTGCCTTGCTGCTGACGTCCTGCCCTCCCTCTGGGGAGCCCCCCAGCAAAGAGAACACGACGATGTCCTCTCCTCACTAGAGAGACCATCTTGCTGTGTGCCCAGTGCTGACACTGGCCTGACAGTAGCTCAGGGGTACTGGCCGTCCAGGCTGGCCGTCCCAAGGTGTTCTGTGTTTCAGGACGACAGCTCCCAGAAAGCTGATGGCGACGTGCTAGACGCCGTGCCCGAGGCTCAGGAGACTGTGCATGTCATTCCCGGCAGCAAGCTACTCTGGAGGGTCAACACTCGGCCCCCCAACTCTGCCCAGGTTCGTCTGCCCCCTGCCATGCCTGCCACCCACCCTCCTCAAGTCTAGGCCTCTCCGTGGCCCCCAGTGCCCCCGACCCCTGGCCAGGCCCCACAGCTGTGCCTTGGTCCCGTGTCCACGCTGTGGCCCAGAGCCGAGGGCCCTCTGTCACTGGGTTGCGCCCTGCGTGGGCCCCCTGGCCTCCCCGCAGCAAATGCAGCGCTCTCCCCACCTGGCGTGTGAGGTGGTGACCCGGGCCGCGTGCAGTATGACAGGTGCCTGGTCTAGCGACCTGCACCGGCTGAGCCTTACGAAGGGGCTTCCGCGGCAGTTATGAGAGATTATTTTTCTGACTTGTCAGTTTAGAGGTTTAGTGCGTTTTGGTATATATTTTTGAAAGTTGCACTTATAATTTATGTTGCATATAATAAGCTTGTATTATGTACAATAACGTACAACATATAACTAATAGATACAATAACGTGTGATAAACTTATTTTAACAATTATTTTGTTTATATATAAATTATATGTACAACATATCATGTAATCTATTGTGTCATTACGTCCTGTTAACATAGCAGAACATGTAAAATAACTAAAAGGAAATAAAACATCCACCTATGCACATATTACCTGGCACAGCCACTGCCCCTCTCGGCTGAATGTAAAATAGTTCAGTGTGACGGAACAAGAGGCGGATTTCTCTTGAGGGAACACCTTTTACAAATAGGGTCCCTCCCTCCATCCTTTGGGGTGTGTGGGGAGCTGCCCTGCCCGCCAGCATGGGGGGCGTCAGGCCCCGGGAGCAGAGCTGGAGCACAGGGTGGGCACCACCCCCCTGCCCCCACCCCTGTGCCTGCGGAGGTGCTGGTGACACAGGCGGCCTTGTCCCACTGGTGGGGCCACATCCGGGCCGGTGGATCTGCAGGGCAGGCCCCCAGGGCAGGTGACACTCAGCTGATCCCAGTGGCTGCTGGCCGTGAGCGGTGACAGAGAGCAGTGCCATTTGTACTAACAGCTTCTGTGCTTCCTCTCCCAGATGTACAATTTCACCAGTTTCACCGTCAGCCTCAACGAGCTGCAGAGCGGCATGGAGAAGACCCTGGCCCCCACAGACTGCCGCCTGCGCCCCGACATCCGTGGCATGGAGAACGGTGACATGGGTGCGCTTGCAGGCTGGTGGGGGAGGGGCGCGGGCTGCAGGTGGACAGACGGGGACACCTGGGACAGTGCTTCTCGTGCTCTCCATGCTGGAAGAGTTTTAAGAATTGTAGCCAGTTGTAGACACAATTAGGCTACATCGTGAAAAATGAAATGAAATAGGATACACGCAAAATACAAGTCCCCCAGATTTTATTATTAGTGTCAACAGACATTAGGGTGACATTCCAAAGATGATATGTGTTGTTCATTAAAAGTCAGCATAGGGCAGCCCGGGTGGCTCAGCGGTTTAGCGCTGCCTTCAGCCCAGGGCATGATCCTGGAGACCTGGGATCGAGTCCCACGTCGGGCTCCCTGCATGGAGCCTGTGTCTCTACCTCTCTCTCTCTTTCTCTCTCTCTCTCTCTCTCCCATGAATAAATAAATCAAAATAAAAAAAAATTTAAAAAAAAGCAAAGGCCCCATGTCCCAGGCTCAGCCACTCACACGCTGAGGATGTGTCCATGTGAGGAGGGAACTGGCCGCCTGCTGGCTGCCTGGGTCAGGGCAGTGGCCTGTGACTCCCCGGAAGTCTGTCCGAAGTGGCCCTGGGTGTTGTTTACACAGTTGGCGTTGAGTGGAAACACTGCACAGGGCGGAGTGGGTGGGCAGCCCCTGCTCCCTCGACAACCAGCCTCTGGGTTCACATTCACAACCGGGCAGCAGCCCTTGGGTGCCTCGTGCCGGCTGAGCCTGAGGTTCAGGTCCCTGGGACCGTCTTCTGCAGAAGAGGCTCCTGCTGCCCCTGCCCCCTGGGGGCTGCCCGTGAGCCTCACGGCGCCCTTGCCTGTGCCGGCCCACAAGCTCGGCTGCCCTTCCCTGCGTGGTGGGAGCACGCGGCCTCTCCCCACGGCCCTGCTGGTGTCGGGGTGCCACCGTGCACTCGAGGTCTAGTTTGGTTTGCAGAGATGGCATTTTAGCCAGTGTGACTTCTCATCTGGGCCTGGAGGTGGGGGCGTCCCAGCATCTGCTTCCTTGAGCGCTCACCTCTGCTTCACCGTCCACCCTGACTCCTGACCCCCACCATGTGCTTGTCCCCAGATCTGGCGAGCCAGGAGAAGGAGCGGCTCGAGGAGAAGCAGAGGGAGGCCCGGAGGGAGCGAGCCACTCAGGAGGCCGAGTGGCAGACGAGGTGAGGCCCGGTGGTGGGAGGGGCGGTGGCTAGGGCCCCCGTGTGCCCATGATGGAGCAGAAGCGGTGCCGGGTCCCGTCAACGCGGGCTCAGGAGCACCGACGGGCCGCGCCCCCAGAAGGCGAGCATGTGCCCCTGCCCGCAGCGTCTGATGCTGAGCGCTCCTCTCGCGAGGGCCTATTTTAAAGGGACGCTGGGTGGCTCGGCGGTTTAGCGCCTGCCTTTGGCTCGGGGCATGACCCCGGGGTCCTGGGATCGAGTCCTGCATCGGGCTCCCTGCAGGGAGCCTGCTTCTCCCTCTGCCTGTGTCTCTGCCTCTCTTTGTGTCTGTCATGAATAAACACATAAAATCTTAAAAAAAATAAATAAATAAAGGGAACATAGTTGGAACCAAGCTGTGGAGAGAAGGAAAACAGCTTTCAGACAGGTGACACTGCGGAAGAAATAGTGTGTTTAGCCATCACCCTGTGGCACTGCCGCCTGCAGGCTGCCTCTTGCATCACCTGCCATGAGGCACAGGTGGCCTGAGGGGCCACGGCTGGTGACGGGAGCGCGGATGGGGAGGGTAGGAGCCCTGTGTGCCTGGGGGTGCCTGCAGGTCAGACACACCTGTGTTCAGACCAGGTGAGAGGGAGATTCAGAGAGACAGTTATGCAGAGACACAGACACAGAGGCAGAGAGACAGTCACAGACAGACATAAAGACACAGGCAGACACAGAGATGCAGAGAGACAGACGGGGAGCAGACACCACTGGCCCTGGGCCGCCTCCTGCTTTCTCACGGGAATTGTGGCGAGTGTGGTTTGTCTGTAATCATAATGGAGAATAACCCATTGGATGAGGATTCAATCAGGTAAGTGCTGTAATGTTTCAGCATAATTGAAAATACGTATCTGTTAAAATGTTAGTCCTGCAGAAATCTTCAGGTGGTCTTGAGCCGTTTAGTTAGTATTTCTTCCAGTCATCCTTCATACTTCGTAGTAATTGTCCTCAAGGCTCCATACAGTCGCCTCCAGTGGCGGTCATATGACCAACGTATTTAAATCTATTCTTCAGGCTTGGGCTCCCAATTTGATTTGATATTATGCTTTCAGTAGTTTGATACTTAGAATTGGCTTCATTCCAAAAAAAGCTTGAAAAGAGTTAAACTTCCTTCATTATTTTTAAGTAGTCGATTTAAAAAATACATTGTGGAAATAATGATATTTTTGTCCTAAGATGATTACTTCCGCTTTGTGAGTCCCCCACATCCACTCTATGATAACTTGCAGGCATCCTTTGTTGCCTTCACTTTGTGCAACAGGAGTAGAGGGGATGGGGGTCCATGAGGGAAGGGGGAGGGGTTTAGGGGGGAGGGGAAGGGTGGGGGCTGCAGGGGCACGGGGTGGAGGGGTGCAGAGGGAGGGGGTAGGGAGGAGTGCAAGGGGAGAGGATGGAGGGCTGTAGGAGCGAGGTCATGGGGTAGGGGGATGAGGTACGTGGGGGGAGGTAGGGGCCACAGGGAGTGGGGCGTGAAGGGGCTGGGGGCTGGCTACAGGAGTAGGGCCACGGGGGCAACGTGAGGGGATGGGTGCAAGGGGAGGGGGGCTGTAGGAGTGAGGACATGGGGGCGGTACGGGGCTACAGGGGCATGAGGTGCAGGGTGGGGGCCTCAGCGGGGCATGGGGGGGCACGGGTGCAGGGGTGCAGGCGCCCCAGGGGAGCCAGTGGGGGCTTCCTCAGGCGCACACCAGAACCGCAGCCGGTGGCAGCCCGCGGTGTCCCTCTGGCCCCAGCCCCCCCGCCCAGGTAGATGCCCGCCCTGGGGAGCGCCGCGCTGTAGAGGCGCAGGTGCTGTTGAGCCGACGGCCACCGGGCTCGCTGATGGCCCGGCGTGTTTCCTGTTGAATCCGTGAGGTTTGGCCGGGAAGTGGACAGCGGCCTGGTGGGTAGGGGAGAGCCCCCGAGGGAGAAGGTGATTGAGCCCTGGCTGCGGGCAGGGACGGTGGGGCCGCGTGTTGCCGTGGGAGCCCGTCACCCCTCGGAGGGAGTGGGCCCTGACTGCGCCGCGCCCTGAGCGCCGCCTCTGTGTTGCAGGTGGTTCCACCAGGGCAGCAACCCGCACACGGGAACTCCCGACTGGTTGTACACAGGGGGTTACTTTGAGCGGAATTTCTCACGCTGCCCGGATATCTACTGAGGGGCTGGAGGGCCCCGGGCCCGGGACCGGAGGCTGGACTCCATCACGTGGCTGCTCCGAGCCCCGCTCCCAGCAGAGACCAGCTTTTCCAGCGACTGTGTTCATGGCGACAGCACCGTCCCCGGTGGAGGATTTTATTCTGATTAACTTTTGATTGCCAAACACTTTACTACTGTTGCAGCCTCTTCATAAAGCTTCACTTGGGATCATCATGTGCTCGTTAAGGGTGGAAAGGAAAATCCTTTGCGGTCCCCTCACGTGATGGGCCTGGGCTGGGCGTGTGTGGCTTACCGCACCCTCCTCCTCCTCCGTTCATGATGCAGTGACCAGAGGGGCTCCTGTAGTCCTAGACCCCTCCATGTCCTCCTTGTAACGCGGGCACAGGCTTTCTGAGACTGATGTGAATTTGAACAGTAACAGGGGAAGACGGATCTTGAGAAAAGTCCTTCGAAGAGTTTTGTACAGGCCAGGAGTTGCCTCCTGAATTATGGTTAATACGGGAGTGAAGATTTTCAAAGCATCAGATTGAATGAAATGAAAAGTTGTCAGATTCTGTATTTTTTACCAATCTTCAATAATGTAAAGATTACTTTTAAAATATTTAAGTTAAAAGTACTTGAATAGTATTTTGCCAAAAAGCAAGATATGCATTAACCACCAATTGTATACTGTCCCAAATGAAGCATTACCGTGACCCCTAGGGCGGCCAGGAGCCTTGAGGGCTGTTGACAGAACTCCCTGGGCCCTGGCCCCGTCTGCTCCTCTCGCACCGGGGCTTCATGGTCCCTGCGGGCCACGCCCGGTCGCAGAGTGGGAGCCGCTGCTTGCAGCCTTCCGCCTGGCCCGCGGCGCTGTCCCGTCCCCGTCTCCCCAGCATGCGCGTGACGGCGGGTGTGCGCCGCGGGAGGGTCCGAAGCAGCGTCTGCTCACAGCCCGGAATTAAAGCTATTTAACAAAAAATAGGCGTATGTCCATTTTAGCAAACACCTTGTCAAGTGACTGTGGTCTTTCTGTAGACACGTCGCCGCCACAGACGGTGGCAGAGCTGAGCGCGCGGGCACACTTGCACACTCAGGCACTCGCGCGAGGTCGGACGTACGGAGGGGTGGGTTCTCCGTGAGAGGGTGTCTCAGTGTGTGCCCGGGCTTCAGCATCACATTTGTAATTAAACCACTTTTAAAAGCGAGTACCTGTTCCGAGGGCTTGACTTTGTAGCTTTGGAAACCCGAAGCCAAGGTGTTCGGTGGAACCGAGAGCAGATGCTGCTCGGCGGGGACAGAGCGGAGCCAGACGAGATCTTGGCGCATCCGGGGGTCTGGAGGGGGAACCCCGTGGCCGTGCCCGTGGCTGTGGCTGTGGCTGTGGCTGTGGCCGGCTCGTCCACGAGGGAGGGCAAGCTGAAAATGCTGGAGGCCGCAACCTGGGGCACATTTTAAATGACAGTATTTAGGGCATTTTAACAACTTCTGTTGAAACGAGTCCGTTTCTCGGTGGCACCAGTGGCTGGTCAGCGAGGTTTGTGCCCGTGGGTCCGCCAGCGAGGCCGGGGTTCCGGGGTGCTCCACACGCGCTCGACCGCCACCGCCAGGCGGGTGCGTTTGCCGGGCCCTTGTCACTCATCTTAGCAGGTTTTAAACTGCTGTTTTTGCAGATGCTAACACGTGAAGTTACTGCCTCCGCTTGGTCTCCCTTCTCATCTCAGATGTCACATGCTGGTCTGTAAGAGAGTCTTTCAGTAGAAAATGCATTTTAAAAACACACACCTGCTACCTACGTGTTTGACCCTTGCAGAATGCTATGGCCTTCTCGGCCACGTGATGTCATCATGGCTTTGCCGCAAGGGCCCAGGAGCCTTTTAGAGTAATACTGTGACTTAGAACGCCCACAGAGAATGAAAAGTAGAGCACACTCTCCCCCCAAAACTTGATATTTTGGTTTTGGTCCCCTTTAAAGTTAGGATTCATTGACACGTCCCTTGACTCGGTGCACATCTGTGAAGAGCCACTGGAGGTTTAGCCATGGACAGACAGATGCTGTCTTGAAGTCTGTCTCATGTACAGTGTAAACTAATGTCACGGGGCCCCGTGGCGCTGACCACACTTCACGGGCTGCCTCATGTTGGGGACCAACGGTCGTATCTGGGTCCCAGGGCTGGCACAGTCTGTCCTGGAGTGGCCAGGCTCAGGGCATCACAAGCACCGGCTTGGCCATGGCTCGTGCTCAGGAGAAGGCCGTGGAGAAGCGGGCCCTGGTCCTTCAGGGACGTCACCACATTTTGTCACACGACGCTGCCACCGAAGCCATAACCAGCCAAAGCACTTGTGTCTCCGCAGGGTCCAGAGGCCCCCTCCTCGCAGACACGGTGCCTCGGGAAGGTGGCGGCCACGTGGGAGTGTTGGCACAGGCCTCCCAACGAGGTGGAAGCCCGAGTGGCCGTAGGCAGGGCGCCCCTGAGGAGCAGCTCCCAGGGCTCCCGTGTTCTCGGCCGCCACATCCCCCTCAGACCCCACCCGCGAGGCTCACGATGCCCGTGCTTGTGGGAGGGCCGGCCCTGGAGCTGCCAGATGCACATCTGGTGTGGGGCCCGATATCAGACCCAGCGGGCGCGGCAGCCAAGGGGTCAGGGGCGGCCTTGGTGGCCTCGTGTCTGAGCGTGGAGCCCCCCTCCCCTGGAAGGCTTTCGCGGTGGCTGTGGAGGACATGCCATCTGCTTGCTGCGTCCTAGTGGGTCCCTGGGGGTCAGGGAGTCAGATCAGGACGAGAGACGCCGGGAGATGGTGACTTCCTGGCTGTACCAGTCGGTCGCCAGTGTCCACGGAGCACGGAGGCGGCAGGGCCCAAGCAGGGGCGGCGAGCAGCTGGTCCTGCAGGGAGGGCACGGGTGGGCCCGGGGCAGAGTCAGCACCGACCTCCCGCCTGGCCTGGTTTCTCCGGGCGCAACGTCCAGACCTTCCGACGTCTTCCAGAGGACTTTCCGGGTCCGCTGTGGGTGCGAAGCGCGGCGTCCCCGATCAGAGGGCGCTACTTGGGGACTCGCTGGCCTCTGCATTCTCAGCGTGAGGGTTTTGCAAAGTGAAAAGAGCATTTTTGATGTCTTGCTGAGTTTCCTGGACGGTCCGTCCTTGCGTGGTCGTACCGTTCCTTTGCCGCTTTGGGAACCAGACGGTCCTGGGTCACACAGCTGGTAGAGGGCCACGGCGTCCCCGCAGCGGGCAGCGGCTCAGACACCGGCCCCCCTTCCTGCCGAGCGTGTGCACGGCCGGTCCTCAGCACTGTTTATCCTGTCGGTGCCGCGTGGAAATGTCAGGCAAGAACATGCGCTAGTGAGATGCATTTATTTTTATAATATGTAATAACTGGCAGCGCCCATCTGTATAAACAGAATCAACCACTCTTAGGTTGTTTGGGGGGGACTGGTGCGGCTCTCTGAAGGTAAATGTTAAACCCTAGCTCCAAATACACATCTCTTTGAAAATGAGTTGTAGCTGACATTTGCTTTGCACTGAACAATTTTTCACTGTCTCAGCTCTTCTGGCCTCTCTGAAAAGGGTTGCAGATCGGCTACAGACGAGTCCCCGGGCTCTGTAGGATTGGCCCAGCAAATGGATTGTCCCAGAAAACTGCTGGTCATGGTGGACAGAGGGCCCGGGAACACTTGTGACACCATTGGGCAGGCACACGGGATGGGTGAAGGGGCCCATGTTCTCCGAGCAGCGGGGAGCCCTGAGCGACCATCTCTCTCCTTTCCTGGGGATCAGAGCCAATTGCTGAAAGCATCAAAATGCCCGGAACACCATGTGTGTTTGCCTCGAAGTCCTTGCTGCCTGGCTGCCGTCCTGGGTGCCCAGCAGCTACATACTTCCCGGGAGGATGAGCTGAGCGGAGACAGTCCTCCATTGGACAGCTGCGGTGGCTCTGGTCCACGAGACGGCAAAGCCCCCAGGTGCACGGGCTCCCCCACAGCTGCCGTGTCTGATGCCGGGACCGCGGGGCCCTCGGCGCTGCCGGAGCCAGACCGCCTGTCTGGGGGGCTTACCACCCAGTCCAACCAGCAGAGGAGGAAAAGGGGGTGCAGGAATGTGAGCTTGCCCCCGGTTTCACGCAGGTAAATGGAGGAAGTGGGATTGGCCCTTGTTTGTGGTGAAGCTTACCCTGTGTGCACTTGACGGAGTTCCTATACTGTGAGATGACGGGGATGTCAACAACATTGGAGGGGGAGAGGACAGTGTCTTCAACAGATAGTGCTGGGAGACCCAGACCCCGACCTCACACCTCCTACGACATTAACTCCACGTGAGTCAAAGGCCTAAAACCGTACTCTTAGAAGGAAGTGCAGGGCACAAGCTTAGCAACGTTGGACTTGGCAGTGATTTCTGGGGTAGGACACCCGAAGGCACAGGCAGAAACTTAAAGTTGGTGCATCAGACACTATCATCGGGTAAAAAAATGCAACCCATAGAATGGGAGAAAATACACCTCCGACGTCTGGTAGGGGATTGACCTCGAGGATAGGCAGAGAAACTCTAATAAAACTAAACAGAAACGAACCTGATCCAAGAAGAGGCCGAGGGCTCCAGCAGGCATTTCTGCACCGAAGATGCACACAGGGCCCACAAGCCCCTGAAAGGATGCTTGGCATCGCGAACCACGTGGGAAATGCAAATCAAAGCTACAGTGAGATCCCACCTGACACCCACGAGGATGGCAAGTGTGGAAAACAAGCAAACCGAGGAGCTGGCGAGAGTGTGGATGCATTGGAACCCTGTGCAGCGCTGCTGGAACCTCAAAGGGCGCAGCTGCTGTGGGAAACGGGGTGGCAGTTCCGCACAACATTACAAATAGAATTACCCGATGAGCCAGTAATTCCACTGTGGGTTTGTTTTTTTTTTTTTTTTTTAAGATTTTATTTATTTATTCATGAGCAACACAGAGAGGCAGAGACAGTGGCAGAGGGAGAAGCAGGCTCCCTGCGGGGAGCCCGATGTGGGACTCGATCCCGGGACCCCATGACCTCGCCCTGGGCCGAAGGCAGATGCTCAACCACTGAGCCCCCCAGGGGTCCCCTCCACTGTGGTTCTGTGCCCGAGAGAGCGGAAAGCAAGGTCCTGAAGACGCACTTCCAGGTTGACGGCCGCGTCCTCCACCGTGGCTGGATCATGGGAGCCACCCAGGGGTCCGCCGGGGATGAGTGTGATCTCGGCCTACGAGGGGCTACTGCTCAGCCTGGAGGACGGGCATCGGGGGCCCGCGGCCGCACGGGCACATCTCGAGGACGTCGTGCTGGGTGACACGGCAGCCCAGGGGCTGGCGCTGCGGGCTTCCACTTACAGCACGTGGGCGGGGGGATGGGGCTGGGGGCGGCTCTGCGCCAGGTGACGGGGCTCTGCAGGCGGGCTCTGCAGGCGGACGGTGGCGCCGCTGCACGTCGCGGCATCTTTGCCACCAGCGCACGGCACGCTCCACGAGGGTTAAGGAGGTCACGCTCATGTCGTGTGTATTTTACCACAATAAAAAAAAATGGAAAGAAGTTCTCCGCCATTGCCAGGGGTGGGGGAAGAGGGAGGGGTGGGGGCAGGGGCGGGGCGGGTCCCCCCAGGCAGCGGGTCCTCGGGCTGTGAGCGTGCCCGCCCGCGGGGTGCTGACGGCCGGAGGGGTGCGTGCGCCCGGCCACGGGGCAGTTCTCGCCCTTGCTGTGCCTCCGATTCCCCCCAAGAAGAAAAGATCGCTGACAGGAAAGAAACAAGGGAAGACAGACGGACGGACGGCAGCAAAACCCGCCTGCCGGGGCACGTGGGGCTCCGTCGGCGAAGCGTCTGCCTCCGGCCCAGCTCGGCCCAGCTCGTGATCCCGGGGTCCTGGGATCGCATCCTCGTGGGCTCCCGGCTCAGGGGGACCCTGCCCCTCCCCCGGCTCGGGCTCTCGGTCTGCGTCAAATAAAATCTTTAAAGAAGCAAAACCTGCCTGCCAAACCACGTCGTCAGGTGGCTGTGCCGCTGCGTCCCCAGCACCCAGCGCTGTCACGTTCTGTCCCCACCCTTCTCGTCACGTTTCAATTTGCCTTCTCCTAGGAATAGTGGCGTGGGCTCTTCTCCCGTGCATCCCGCAGCTGTAGCCCTTCGGTGCCGCGTCTGGGCACGTGTCCTGCGCCCTCTCGAGTTGCGCCCGTGGTCCCCGTGCCCTGCCCGC